GGTCCTACATGATCAATGTTACATGCACAAACCCAAATCAAATTGTTTTTAATAAAAAATGGATTGATTATTGTATTAATCAAACACAGAGTGGAGATTTGACTCATATTATGGTCCACAACATTATCTTCTTTTGATCTTACCTAATGCATTTAATTAGCAAAGTGTCTGTTGTTGATGGAAAATGACTGGCATCACACACATAGAGAGATGATACTTTGTTTCTGTGGGCTTGGCTCTATATTTGTATATTTAGACATGATCCATTTCTCATATGGTTTTGGGTCCTTATCAATATGGGCTCAACTTCGAGTTTGTATGGGTCTATATTAATAGCATGTAAGAAAATGGTAGAGAACTTCATTTTCTACCAGAAAATGGTTCACAAGAACTTCCATTACAGGTTTAACCTTCTTATTTCTCCTATCTTGCAGTTAACTAACTAAATAAAAACATGGAATGAAACAACACAATATGTTATATTGTTATTTTTTCCAGCATTGAAGACTTTCCTTGCAGCCAGCAACATCACATCACATATTGCTTTATCTAACGAGCCCTAAATTGAGGATGCCCCAAGAAGTTTGGGGCCAAGACTTCTCTTTTGCCTTCATCAGAAGGACTCTAGCCCAAGCAATCCACCCTTCCCAAGATGTCCTCTTATCCCAAGTACTCCCCCATTCCAACATGAGCATAAGTCCTCTCTCTGCCTGTCTCTCCGCCTCTTCAAACCTCCCTTTTCCCAAGTAAATCTGACCCAGCAACACATGCGGCTCCCCAACAAATGGGTTCTTCTCAACACAGCTCAACAACAGCTCCTCAACTTTGTCGACCCCTCTTCTAGACATATCACAAACGCCTTCCCAATACAAGTCTCTCGCCACTATCTGATCGTTGGCATCCAAAATCTTAGTGCATCTCTCAAAAACTGGAGGCACCACCAGCTCTATCTCCTCATCTCTCTCCTTATCGATCTTGACGCCACCACCCCTTTTCCGTTCTTCCACGTATATCTCCTCCTCTCTCTGTAACAAACTGTAAATCGCACCCATCCTCGATATGGAATTAACCCATAGCCCCGGCTTGCCATCTCCTGGCCATAAAGCAGTAAAGTTATTACCAGTGAACTCGAGCCTTCCATCAATGTTGTCAAACAACGAATCTTGAAATCCAAACAGTTGGTCACTGAAATCAGCCATCGTCATCATCAGAAATACAGCCGCCACTCTTCTCGTAACAAGAACATCCTCTCCAGTCTTTATATGCTTGACTGTGATCCCTTTCGCTGGCAAAAGAGAATTGATTTTCTTCCTCCAAGGCTCCTCTCCATTGAACAGACCTTTCTCCTTCGCATTTCTCAATGATAGCTCAGACAGTTTGAGGTGTTCGACGAGTTCAGAATCGGAATACTTGAACAAGAGATCATCGTGGATTAGAGGTTGGCGAGGGACGATGCAAAATAAGTGAATCAATTTCTCGGCAGCTTCACCAACGTGGGCGCGAACCACATCGCGGCCCGTGTTAGGATCAAAGATAGCGAGATTAACATAGGAATTAGAATAAGCAGAATGGAAGAGGCCGCAAAGACAAACACAGTCTGGGGCTTTCCAAATCTTGAGAATCCGATAGATGTCAACGAGATGATCAAGAAAGCTGCCGTGCTTGTGCCAGCACTCTCCGGCGCCGACTGAACGCAAGACGGAAACCAAAGCAGGGAGATTTTCGTCGACGGATTCAAGCTCTCCGCGAAGGAAGGGGCGAGTAGAGGCTAAAAGGGTTTGGAGGTAACTGGATTGTGGAGATGGCATGATTGAGTTTGATTAAGCTTTAGAGGATTGAGTGAATAATTGAAGCTTAGAGATGGAAATGTGATGTTCCCATCTGAAATAATAAGGAAATGAAGAGAGTGGAGAGAGACGTAGTGAGCTTGGATTCCCATTTTCCTAGTCTGACGCTCAAGAGATAGGATGAGGCTTTTGTTTGTGCTTATTTGTTTGTTTGTTTGATTAGTTGGCACTTGGCTTAGTATTGGATTGCATTTGATAGCGATTATAAAATTGTGGATTCCGTACAACCAAGTCAATACTAGTAATTTTTTTTTTTTTTTAATTTTTTTTTTTTTTTTTTTGAAAAAAAATATGAATATTATGTTTATTCTCTCTGGCATATTATTGGAAGGGAAACAAAAATGTAAAATATAGTAGTCATAGTGGGAGAAAGCAAAATGGGCTTGAAATATTACTATTATTTTGGACAAAAGCGCATATGAAGATGAAAATGGAGGGTGAGGAGCTAACTGATTGTTAATAGCCTAACATATATATGAAGTTGGAAAAAAACAGAGGAAAATATTCGATCAAAGAGATGCATGCCCTTTAACTTAGTGGCTCCGAACTTCACAATCACATGAGACGAGGAGAAGCACTAAGAAAAGAAAAGAAAAGAAAAGTATTGGCAGAGTCACTTTTTTTATGTCAATAACATAGGACAGGTACCAACCCAATAATACACTTATCTGGACTTTATTTGTTGGACAGGATGTTGCTTTCAGTTTTAATTTATAATCACTAGTCAATCAGACTTCCTTTCCTCTCTGATATTGCAAATGACAACTTGCTTTTCTTTTAGCTTCCACCGTTGTCACACTTAACCACCCAAACCCAATAAACAAAGAAGAAAATGTCCAACTGCACCAGGTTTTATGATCTGTCTCTGTGTTCCCCTTCTTTTCTTCTTATTAAAATCCATTTAAAAAATTTCGCAGCTTTCTGAATTGTGACGTTTTGGATGTTTGTGCCTTACAATCTGGTTCAGTGTACAGCAAAAAGTCATATTGAGCATTAGGCGATAATCATTCCCACCAAGCAAAGCAACCTAACTCTTGCTTTTTGATTACACAAAACTCCAGAGGCAAAATTATATTTTTACAAACAAATCCCATCCTCCTTTTCCTTCTTCTTTTTGTCATTTCATACTTTTCTCTTGCTTGTCCATTTATATATTCCTGCACAGGCACAAAAACACTTTGTTAAGAGCACAGGATGAGGTATATGTTAACCTTATGCTATTCAAGTTTTCATCTTTTTTAAGTACCCAGTCATAGGTTATAATACCCTGAAACGATTTTGGACTAGTATTCCTTGCTACTGTATATTTGGATGTATTTGAAATGGTTGATCACTAATATGTTTGTTTTCATGGCATGATTCACATATGCAATGGTTATACTTTAGTATACAATTATTAATTATTCAATTCTAAACCACTTTTAACATGAGCTAGAAAGAACATCTAAGGACCCCAGAACAGATTTTGGATCGCTATTCTCTTTGGTTTTATTTATTCTTAGATGACGGGTGCCCGTGAGTTGCCCACTATGTTCTTGTCAGCATTTAGTTGGTCCTCATTATGGCTTTATTCCCTTGTACGATGATTTTCTATATTATTGCTCATAATATGTCTATCTTGGGGTTATTTATTATGCTCTAAAGTTGTCATTGGATCACGTGAATTCAAAACGTTGGCGATTTCCGACAATCAATTTTGGTTTTGTTTCAAGGCATCCTGATTCAGTCAATGTGCTTGCTCAGTTCAGACTTTTTGTCATCTTTCATTACGTACAAAGTGATATCCTGTTTCACTTGTGGCAGTTTGACACCATATTGCTATTGGGATCACATTACATGTTTAAATATCCTCCCTGAAGTTGCAGTTGGAGCATGACTGCATCTCTTTTCCTCTTGATAACAAGTTGTGAAGTCATTCCAGGTACTGTATAAGTAAAAAGAATCAAAGTCCGTGTTACTTCTAATTGTAAATTTATTGCGGGAATCCTTAATAGCCAAACTTTCAATCCGGACTGTATTTTATTCAATTCTCTGGTTATGATTATTACTTTTTGTTCCATTTGGGATTAAATCAAGGAACTAAATCTTGAGCATATGGGGTGCCTGTCATCAACACAAAGGGATTCTGGGGGGAATGGAAAGTGGCCCAGAAATGTTGGGGAGGTTGCATTGTTTGTTCCTGGGATGAGGATACCTAAACCAGTTGATTTCACTCAGCCACTTGGTGATGGTTTATCTAGGAATTTGATTGAACGGTTGTCTGCTCTTAGAACACGTATTGTAGTCATGGCGGGCCAAGAAGCACCAGTAGCTGCAAGACCAAGAAGAACAGCTACACAACATGGTCTGTTAAGTTATTAAGGAGCTGAAACCTTCAATAGTTAGAACTTAGCAGTTCATTCATTGAAATTGGTTGGTTTGTTTATGCAGGAGGATCAACAATGCTTGATCTTCAGCAGGCTCTTGAAGATTACTTGCCAGTGCTATTGGGGCTAGTTGAAAATGGTACATGATTGAACAAATTATATTTGGAGTGTGAGCCTAAATTAGATTACTTGCCAGGCTTGTTTTGTTGCCAAGAAAAAGAAGAAATATGAAAAAGATATCTTATTTTTACTCGAGCAAATCTTTTATCTTTATCATTATATCATCCAGGAAACCAGCTACAACAAGAGTTGCAATTCTCTTGGCTAAACCAGGAGGACACTGCAGAGGTGAGGTTATTATTGTAGGATTCAATTAATCATTTGAGGCCATTGCAAAACATAGGGATTTTCTTCTTTTATAAGATTGTCCTATGATCACAATTACAATCTTTGCAGGAGACTACCATGTCAAACTTTTGGTACGAGTTACTATCAGTTTTGCACTTGATGGCCATGTTATCGTTATCACAGGCCAATTTATTGCTTCTTTCTATAACCTCTAATGACGGTCATCTGTCAAAATTATCAGAAGGTGAGGTCAAGCGTTAACTGATTTCAATACTCTTATTTCTTATTGTTTTTATTTTTTTTTATTTTTTTTTTAATTTTTATTTTTATTTAGAGTAGGTAACAGAAGTGAGGATGATATTCTTATGTTTCTGAGAATAAATTATTTTATTGATTATATGATATCCAATACATAATATACAACAATATTTAAGTGGACGCTGTCAGAGATGAATTAAATTATCTAGCTGCCTCACTATCATAGGGAGCAAGTTTTCAGCAAGTAGTCTGTCATTGATCCTTGATTATTATTGCAGAGGTACCTGCCCTCTTTTTTCACATTAATCCCTGTGTCTTGCATATTTGAGAACAAGTTATTTCATATGCAACCTAAAACAGGACCAAAAATAAATCCTGTCAAATGGAACATGAAGGGCTTCATGTGAGCATTGACAGACAAATATTACCGTCTGATAAGAGATTTTTATGGGAAGTTATATTCAACTCCTGACACTGATGAAAAATTATGGTCCTACTACTACTGACTAGTTATTATCATTAATCTGGCTTTTAACTAAAGGGAGGCTCGCTCAAGATACTTGAGTACAGTATTTTATTTTACTTTTATCAAGAGTTCTGCATTCCAAGTTTATAATATTTCTTGTGTTCTAAAACTTTAATTTCCATGCATTTTTCATTTCTCGATGTACTTGCCAAAAGCCACTTGAATTGTTTCTTCCTGTGGTTCTAAGAAAGGTAGCCTTTAAGCTGCTATTGGCGTGTGCTTCACTGTCTTTCACTGCATTTGCATAAGTACTTCTTTATGGATCCTGCTAAGAGGAATAGATTTTGTTAATCTATTTTCCACTACAGAAAGCAGACGAGCTTGCATTGATATATTATTGAAGGCAGCGGGATATTTGAATTTCTCCATCCAGCATGTCCTCCCTCGTTTTCCTCCTGATATCAGGTTCATGGAACAAATCTTTGCTTCAAATATTGCCATCTCATTTCCAGAGAATTATGTATCATATGGTTATTCTTACACAGACTTTCATGCTTTTAAAGGTAAAAGTTGATTTTTGAAACTGTCGTTATTGTAGGAAAGATTTACCACTAGACCTGGGAGAGGGAGTGCTTCGAGCCCTTTGCCTGCAAGCACTAGGCCAGGTAATAGCTCAGTTATAGGCAACATGCCGTTGATTTGTATTTTTATCCTATGCCATTTTACATTTCGCCTGCAATCTTTCATATGTTAAACTTGATTTTTGAAAGATTTGTCTGCAGGCTGGTCTTTATCATTATGCATACTCTTATATGGTAGACTAGAGTCACTAGACTTTTTCCTTGTAAAATGAAAGCTTTTATGTATATTTTATTTTTATGTTTGTGATTTTTCTAAAAAAATTTTTCCACATGGTAAAGGGTGTTGATCTACAGCTTGGAATGGCAATTGATAGTGTCAAGGCCACACTGGCTGTCAAAAGAAGGCTTGCATGTGAGATGGTAAAATACTGGCATCAGGTATAGCTTCTTTCTACTATGTCATAAAGCTTTATAATTCAGGAACGACTCATTGTAAATATGTAATCGATGGCATGCTAATTAGATAAGCCTGGAGGCTTGTCCTTAAATGTTACAATGACAATTGCATTACAATTTGGCTTGGCAAGTTCAAATCTCAGCCGCAGCAGTGACTAGAGTCATTATTCTGTGAGATGCCTTTATGTATATATATTATAGCCTGACTTTTATCGTGGTCCGTACTTTGTTCAGGCTCAAGAGAGCATTGTAGACCTTCCATTAGCAAATGGATGGGGAGAGAAGCATAAACTTTTTATTCAGTGGAAATATGCTGAAGCCAAGGTACATCTCCTTCACTAACTTTACGTTCTTTCTTGATATTTTTTTTCCCACATGTATTAGTTTACCTTTGAATATGCGGCTCCTACTTGTATGGAGTATAATACACCTCAATATTTATGTTGAGTGGTAGCAATGAAGGATAGACAGTTAATTTTTCCTTGGCAAATGCCAAGTGAAATTACTTTCCTTCACTGATTTATGCTCTGATCCAACTATAACATGAATTGAGCTTTTCCCTTTATATAACACAAAAATAACATAGAAGAATTTCATTAATCAGGCAGCTGCGTATTATTATCATGGTTTGATCATCGAGGAGGGGATCACAGAGGGAAGTACAGAAATGGCCGTAGCTGCTCAACAAGCAGCACAGATGTTATGGCATGGAAGTAGGAAGGCCTGTGAATCCTTCCATAGGAACCCTCCAGTGTCGCGGTAAGTCACCGGAGACCTATCCCGCTTTACACAACTGTGAATCTGCTCTGTTTACACATTTATTTGACCAAGATTTCCCATATAATGTGTTGTGTCTTCCATTGTGTTTATGTACTTTCCAGAAATCCAATTCTTTGGGGAACCAGCAAGTTTCTTTCTGAAAAGATTCCAAGAGATAAATCAAGTAATGAGGATCAGCACAATCATGAAATGTATGATGAAAACGAGTTTTGATTTATTGACATGCATATGAATTTTTGTATTGATTGATTGAGTCTTGGATCCAGGATTCTACGAACTGCTCCAGCTTTGCCAGAATTTGCTTTGTCGTTAGAACCTGATGAATACCAGCTTCCTGCGGTGGATCCATCTTGGAATGGCCACATACAAAGTCAAGATTAATTCTCCCAGCAAGACCCATTGTAAGAGGAAGAACTTGAACGGGAACAAGTGATCCTTACATTCAGCTAATCATATTTCTTTTAGTTAAATAAAAAACAATCTATGTTGCTTCCTTAAAAGAATAGGGCAGATGTACCAATTACAGTTCCTGTCGTGAGAAATTTTTCATTTTCCCTCTGTATTTAAGACCGCACTCTCTTCACTTTCCAACAGAAACTAAAGGTTGTACCTGCTTACATAGCTAGACATTGAGGAGCTGTTTTAGCTTAATGACAACTTACTGGATCTCAAACTTATTCGTTCAGTTACTAAGAAATAAACTTGAATCATCAAAATGTCTTAACATTATTTATAAATCAATTTTGTCTGAATGAAAATTTTTTTTCAGAGCTTATTCAATTCAATAAGTAATGTAATCGTTCAATAATTTTTAGTTGGTACATGGCTTAAAGATATTAATTTTGAATAACGATTCTGTAAATGATAATAATTAGAGTAAAGAAAAACTTACTGTATCTTTTTCAATTCCAATTGCTATTAACTCCCATGCAAATATGCATAAAAGGGGAAAATCATACCATCTAATGCCCAATAAAAAGAAAAAAAAAAAATGCAAATTGTATCTTTAAATGTTTCTTTACATCTCAGTACACCCCAAAATCCAATGTTCTAGAGCAGAACCACAATAGTGGGTGCGCTGTTTGCCTGCAAAGATGGGCGCCATAAATTTGCATTGCTCGCCACAACAAGTTCATCAGCTCTGGTCAGAACCAGAGTCAGGAATCATATTTAGAACCTTCATAAGAAAAGTATATATGAATGCATCTTCTTGAAGCCTCTCAAATCTGCATGTTACAAGATACATCATTTTAATTTATTAATTAAAAACATCTACAAATACTTCGGGCTTTGAACTCAAAGATTGTAAGAAGCTCTCTATAAATTCTATGAGTTATATTTGAATACTATATTCCTAATCCAGAAAAAATTTGCAATTACGTTGACATCACTTGAGTTCAGAATTCAGATAGCAACGATGTCAATGAATCTTAATATAAATGGAGAAAAGGACCAATAATTGGACTAACTGGCATGTACCACAGCTCCATGTGAAGCTTTAACAACTTAAATAATCATCACTTCTTTCATTAGAGTACAGTAAATTTAGATTTTCTATTGTCCTTTACAAATGCACTATTACCTAACAGCTCAAGAGAAGAAACGGACCAGAGGAGATGAAGAAAGAAACCATATCTCCAGATTCAAATTCAGAGAAAAAATAGCTTTAGAAATATTAAGGAAAAAAGAGAGCCTACCTTCCTGACTTTGAAAAATGCCCAGCACCGAGTTCACATTTGAACAGCAGCAGATTATCATCGGTTTTCATATCCCTCAGTTTTGCCACGAATTTTGCAGGTTCTGAATACATAACTCGTGGATCTGCAACAGTTCACCAGATCTTTAGACCTTATGATATGATTGAAGAAGAGTATTAAATGAAACGTATGTTCTCTGTGCTCATTTCTATGCAAATCACTTTCTTTCAGTAACATTGATCCCATTGAAAAATCTCTAATTATCCAACAGTGTACCATACACAATAAAAACTACCTATTCTTCTAAATAAAAGGGCTACTATCTACTGAATATCAGATAATAGACCTACATCAAAGAACCAGCCTCAGGACGATGGGTCAAAATATTCAACTTAGCACTTATTGATTGCAGAGGTTTAGAATGGGAATTGTTGTGTATCTGAAGCGGCATCACCAGGTGGAGTTCATCGAGTCAAACGAATAAACTTTCCCTCCTGACTTAACTATATATTTACTTTTAAAAAAATGTATATGCAATGTACACAGAATGGAAAATCTTAAGTCAACATAAACATAACTAAGTCCTTACCATGTAAGCCAGCTGTAACAAGGATGTTAGGATAGTTTTGAGGCTTAACCTGTACAAAACAAGTTTACGGGTCACAGTGATCCAATAACAACAAATATTGGTCATTCCAACCTCATGACTATTAAGACAATATTAAAATAACAAGGAAGCAATTTAGAACTACATGGCACGCACATTATCAACAGGGGAATATGATTTCATATAGTAATAGAACTCCTCCACCCGAGGGTCTCCCCATTCCTGCAGTAACGAGAAGATATCAATAACAGTGTAGATGCAATCATGCAATTATTGAAAGCAGAACCTTCCAGCCAGAAAGCTTGAGGGTATATCCATCTCCAAGCTCTTATTCAGACCACAAGATAAAAATGGATTTTTCTTATATAACTCAATGCCAGAATAATTAAAAACTGAAAACTAATAGTACCTCCCACTCTTCAGTTGTAAGAGGAATACTTGGATCAAGCATAGTGGTCAGAACATCCACAAAAGGCACTCCAGCTATGGCAGCCTTGAACTGATCAGGCTTCATATTAAGAACAGAACCAATAAGCAATCCCCCTGCGCTCCTTCCTTCAATGCATAATTTTTCCTTGGAACAGTATTTTTCTCCTATTAAATACTCTGCACAAGTAATAAAATCTGTGAAAGTATTTTTTTTCTTCAAAAACTTCCCATTCTCATACCACTGTCTTCCCATTTCACCACCACCACGAACGTGAGCGATTGCAAAGATGAAACCGCGATCCAATAAAGACAGCCTTGACGCCTTAAATTTGGTATCTATGCATATCTAAAAAATAAAACACAGTTCTATTAAGTAAGTACAAATGGAAATTCTAATATACAAGTGAGAAATGATAAGAAACTCAATGATACAGTGAAGCATCAATGTAACTCAGTAATGTGCATCGGAGACTTCAATCTTGAATCAAAATACTATATCAAGCACTAACCACTGGCAGTAGACAAACTGAAAATTTTACTCTAAGGTTCTACCTTTCTCATTTTACCTCATATGAACCATAGCCATAAAGCAGTAATGGATGAGAGCCATCAATTTTCACAAGATCCTTCCTATAACCAACTGATATAGGAATCTGGGTACCGTCTGAAGCCGTGGCCCATTTCCTTTCAGCAACATAATTAGAAGAATCAAAACCTCCCAAGATCTGAAAAAGATATTGCATGGAACTATTGCATGTTATGCTCAGATAATAATAATAATAATAATAATGAAGAAGAAAAAAAAAAAAATCAAACCCCAAAAAGGAATCAGAGGGAAGATACATAAGTAAAAATATGAAAACCCATGCATACCTTGTCAACTTAGCATTGGCAATGACACGCTTAAATTTAAGATACTCCAGTCATTTCTGTCTTAGTTTAAACTATTAAGAATTGAAAGATATTGGTATAAAATACTATATCTAGATTGTAATTTGTATGTTTTGATTTCGCTATTACTAAGATAGATGGCCATCTCTTTTTTATATTTTACTCTCTGCAAGTTCTGTCCATCAGCCAATAAAACAATGCAAACACAAATGCTGCAACAGAGTTGATAGATAAGTTGTCTTCCATACAATACTCTGTAGGTTAATATATATACATATATGTATGTATACGTATATATCTACATATATAGATAGATAGATGGATAGGATGGCATACATTAATGCAGCTTTCTACACATGAAGAAAAACAAAAATTATGTGAAAGATTTTGAAAATTTCTGGCTCAAAGCATTACATACAAGCACATATATATGATGTTTGTACAAATGTAGACACATAGATGGTCATGAAACCATGTCCCAGCATTAAAATTATCCAAAATTTTCTCTAAATATGATGAGTATCACAAGTATACATCAGACAAGGAAATACACAGTACAAGAAAAGCTGTAAGGCCTCGTGCAAGAGAGTGGGTAAGACAACTGCAAGTCTAGTTATAATAAGCAAATGACAAATAGATGGTAATATGTGGAACTGAATTTTTACAACTTACTGTCTCAATCTTCTTCAGAACACAAATGCCTATGTTCATATCATATTCGTAAACAGAGGGAGGTGTCCGCAATGAGCTATATGAAAACCTCAAAATGCTGGAAGAAAACTCTGATGGTTTTGAATCCACAGAGTATACAGGGTCAATAAAATCAACAGCCCGACCATCCTTTAGGCTTGTAAGTGGCTCATTGACATCTGGAAGTTTATATGCCGTTATTTTGGGTAGACCATTCTCTCGCTCATATACAACTAGATGATCAGCAAAGAGTTGTACATCCCAAATTTTTACGCTGGACAAAAGAAATCCAAAGATGATAGCATGATGAGAGTTGTTAGCAACTTAATATGGTACTTTTGTGGTTATATGGAAAGCAATATGATAGTGTCTTGGAAGCTATTAGTGAAAAGATATACTGTGCCAAATATCAGCAAACAACAAAAGATGCACTTATGCAGCTTGGCCAATGCATCTTTATCAAAATGAAAAAGAAATCTGAATATTATAACAGAGGAAAAGTCACCTTTCCCTATGAGGAATAAGAACTGTAGTTGCAGAAATGTTATGCAATGGACAGGCTAGTAGCTCAGAATTGAAAAACTCATTAGTTCTCCTACGAATATAGAAATGATTTCCACGATGGCTGACTAATGTACTAATGCCATCGACACGAGGTGTCAAAGGCTTCACACCTTCTTCAGCCTTGGTAACATCAATATAGAAAGCAAACCTAGTATTTTTGCTGCCAGATACAACAAAAAGATACTTTTCACTCTCTGAAGCTTCAATATGCACAGTAAATTTGTCATCCTTCTCGTGATAAAGGCATGAGTCACTTGATTGATGTGTCCCCAACTTGTGTAACCACACCTAGGAAATCAAACCAAGCCCGAGTCAATGTAGCTAGATACATGAAGTTCATTGAGTTTCATTTGTGATTATTGAAGGAAAGCTAAAGCAAAGATTTCCAAATGGGATTTCCATTTTCTGGGAAAGGTAAAAACCAAAAAGTGCCACATGATAATTTCAAAATAAGAAGTAAGAAACAATCTTTTGGTTTCGTTTGCGACTTGCATGCGGTATTCAACCAAAAGACACAAGAAGTAAACCCATAGAGCATGAGAAACACTACAATCTCCTAAGAAAATTAATTGTTTTATAACAGCTGCATTTGTTTTATAAAGTGCTTCTCAGTCCTAAATACAGGACTAGAAACATAATGACAGTACCTTATCAGAGCGATGTATGTGATCCATTGTGGTGTAAACCAAAAAATCGTTACCAGCCCACTGAAGAGAAGACGTTGTACCAGTCAAAGGCTTCTCAATAGGGGCTCCAGTCTCAACATCAATGATATGAACAGTGTAAATTTCATTTCCCTTGGTATCCTCTGCATATGCGACCAGTTTATGATTTGGACTAACCTGAAGAACATAAGATAGTTATTTAAATATAGAGAAACAAAAGAGAAAAAAAAAATGAGAACATGAATCTAATTCTAAAGAAGATTTAACCTCGAAAGCATCAACACTGTAATAATCGTGGCCTTCAGCCTTAGCATTCTCATCCAGAATAAGATGCTCAGGAGGATCATTAGGTCCGGTTTGCATGACATCGTGGACTGAAGGTGGCGTTTCATTATTGGATATATAGCGGCGGCAATGCTGAACATACTCCTTGCCCTCCAAAGTCTTTGTATAGTAGTAGTAAGGCCCTTGTCTTCTTGGAGCAGAAATGTCGTCCTCCTTGATTCGACCTCTTATTTCAGCAAAAAGCTGCTGCTCAAATTCTTTGGTCCCTGAAAAGGTCAATGCAGAGCAAAGTTAAAGATTTTGAGTTTATAAATTCCTCAAGAAAGAAAATTGAACACCGACCAGACATAACAAAGTCAGTGTAGGCATTCTCGTCGTGGAGATAGGAAAGGATCTCAGGATTGGAGCGAGAATCATCGCGGAGCCAGTAATGGTGGTCAACTCTAACGTCATCGAACAACTCCATGACATGCTCCACCTTCTTGGCTACCGGCGGCGACTTGGACTCCGACTTCATCTTAACAGCAAGGGACGAAGTGGATGATGATATTGACAGGGTAGAGGAGAAGTGGAAGAATGTCGTCGGAAGACTACGCGAGCCGAGAAGAAAGAGTTGATTGTGACTTGACAAACGGGAGCAACAATTATATATTAACATCTTCGGCTCCTGGCATAATTTTGTAGTCCCAATTTTGTGTTACACTAGAAGAAAAAGACGACCTTTTGGTCGATTTTATTTCAATGATAGGTTCAATGATAGGGTCAGTCGAACTCCAAGTTCTCGTTTTTCTCCGACTCATTGGTCGCTATGGTATGGAGTAACAGAACCTCTATACCCCATAATTAAACTAAAAAAGAAAGAAGAGAATTTGTACTTGTCATTATGTTATAATCAATAAATCAAAATCTTGTTTAATCAGAGGACTTAGTGATAAAGATATGGCATATTGTGATTAACCTTCTAATCCTACACTTAAGTATTACTACCAGGTATTTCATCCTAAATTCATTTTCAACTATGAAAAACTTACAAATATAGCCAGTCTCAGGCTCAGAACCAGAACCCAGGACTGGTCCTCAACGGGAGAGAACCTGAAGGTAATGCAAATGTATCTAAGAAACCACAAATGGCCAATTATCTGCCACTTCGAATACTAATAGACCTGCCTTATTTATTTGTGCTTCTCAATTTATTGGATTAATGGAAAATAACTACTAGATAATAAGGACAAGGCCTTAATCAAAAATTCATGGCATCTTCAGTTACCTCCTGCAGTCATTCAACACTAAGTAAAATAATACTCAAATAACGGTGGAAGAAACATTGGAATGAAATCAACTGCATCTGAGAATTAATGAAGTAATATAAAGACTAATACACACTGAATTCCAAGGCATTGGGTACGATAAAGAACTTTGAGTGCACTTAGGAAGGGGGGAAAAAAAAGAGCTGTCATCTAATAAAAAACAATGTAAACAATTAGGAGGCCTAATACACAAGCCACAAATCTTGAAAGTAGCCCAGAGTGTAGAAAATGTCCACTCAAGCAAATGCGCGGTCTGCCTGCAAAGCATGTAATAAGGTCGTATTTCTCCTGACCTCCCCATTACAACTCTCCCACAATATGCGGTCACAATGCTTCAGCAAATTTTACAAGAAATGCACCCAAGGACTCCTTCATCATAAGAAATAAGGAACTCCAGTCCTAGGTCCTCTCATCTGGTTGTTCTCCTCTGTTTCAGTGAAAAATTTCACTTCTCTTTCCTAAGACATGACACAAAAAAGGTTATCCGTAAACATGATTCCACAGAACTATGGTACAATTCAAAAACAGCATTAAACATGATTTCACAGAATTAGCACCATCCATAGATGGCATTCAAGAATCCCACCAGTTGAAAAGCATGAACAGGTAACCATTAATCTTAGCTTCATGATACCATAAGCACATGCACAAATCATTGTCCGAATTATATGACGGTACTAACATCCAAACAATTAATTCACTGAGGGAGAACCTGGAAGGTTTGAACTTGATATTTTTAAAAGGGTCACATGTTTTTATTCATTGGCATAAATAAGGAGAAATTATGGGATAATAACAGATTAATCGCCATTATGCAGCCTACAACCATTCATGGACCTTAAGATTACTAACTACAAAGACGAGGGAAAGAAACAAAAAAATGTGCTGACGCTGTTTACATGGTTAAAATGGCATAAAAAGTTTCTTCCACAAACATTTGTTCCCAAGATACTTCATATAAGCAGCCACTAACACTACTCGCGATATAAGTCCTCCAATACATCAAGACTATTGTGGGAATTTCAATATAATCAAATGTTAAAAGTGATATGATTAACCATAGAACTGTTATGTGGAATGAAATGAACTGGCAATTCTGCTATATGTTGATTTTAGAATAGCTGTTGGCAGATTCCATGTAAATAATAACTGTCTTGTGACAAATGAGCAGCTTAAAAAGTAAGCTGAAATCAATTTGAGAAATAACAGAATATTTATTTGAGTTTCTCTTTCTACACCTTTCCCTCTCTTCCTTTCACTCTCTTCTCTGTGTTTCTCTCAACTTCTTCAATTCTAATCTTTCATGTCTGGTTAGGTATTGAAAGAACCCAATACCTAACATAAAATTGATAAGAGAACAGAAAAGGTGAAGCTGGAAACTGAGAACTATATAGCATTGTTAACAGAATGTTAACAATATTAATCAACGGTCACTGGACTGTACAGTAAATTATAACACTTATGGCTGGTCGCATTATTAGGCCTAATATTTGCTTGGTTTAATGAAATCATTCCACATAAAACATTTCTACATGATTAATATTTCATCTGGAGTGAAACCAAAGATTTTCTACATAACGTTTCTACAAGAACTTGTAACAGCTGGATATCCTAGGTATTCATTATATTACAAATGTCATGCATATATTATCTAATTGCTTCCCTTGGTTTAAAAAAGAGTGTGTGTGTGTGTGTGTGTGTGTGTGAGAGAGAGAGAGAGAGAGGGGCAAGGCATAAGCTTGTAATGCTTACCATGTTCTCATTGAAGCTCAATATCGAAGCTACATTCCCGCAACGATAACAGTAATTTGGTGCAGACCAGACCTACAAAAGTTAGGAGCCAAACCATTTTACTGGACTGCTTTTAATATATATGCCTATTAAACAAGCACAGAGGTTACAGTCTTTACAGTTACTAAGCCTTTGTCTTGAAACATGTACTTAAGACCTTCTTGTACCAGTTGGTGTGCTCGGCAAACCAGATCAAGATTGTTAATGTGGTTGAACTGCAGGAAAAATATGAAGTGTCACATAGATAGAACATCATTCTATTAAAGCTGAGATCATAATATCTTACCTCAGAAGTCACCCTGGATCCAAATAGCCAACCTGCTCCTCGGGGACTGACTGCCCATGTTTCAATATCTTCAGGATCACTCCACATTAGATCACAGAATGGCCCTTCATGTGGAATTTCACAATTGCGTTCGATTACTCTTATCTGCCAATTAATTGGGAAATGCAAGATTTCACATACCATCCACGAGAAAAGAGAAAAAAAAAAAAAAAAAAAAAATAGACATCATTCCTATAAAGCTGAGATCATAATATCTTACTCAGAAGTCACCGCTGGATCCAAATAGCCAAACCTGCTCCTCGGGGACTGACTGCCCATGTTTCAATAATCTTCAGGATCACTCCACATTAGATCACAAGAAGGCCCTTCATGTGGAATTTCAAAACAAAATTTGCCCGTTCGATTACTCTTATCTGCCAAATTAATTTGGGAAATGCAAGATTCAACATACCATCCACGAAAAAGAGAAAAAAAAAAAAAAAAAAAAAAAAGAAAGGAACTTGCAAACCCCAATATATCCGGACTATATAAATTCCAAATGATCACTAACCACTCCACCAAACTGCAATTAAACTGCAGGCACATCACAAGACTCCCCTAAGAAAGGGAGCCTCATGTACAGGTGGCCAGGTTGGAAAAGCAGCACAAATTTCATTTAAGGCTTTGCATTTGCCCTTCCCGTGTCATAAAAGAATTTTAGTCAAAAAAAAAAAAAAAAAAAAAAAAAAAAGGGGTAAAATAATCATCTAGTAATTCACAGCTAGCTAATAACAGAATCCGTGTATCTGACAAAGACATGAACCACAAAACAGCTAAGATATTTCATGGGACTGCAATATGAAGATCATGATAGTTCCACATACACTCCGACAAAGTCTCTCCATGGGCATGTCTAGGGAAATGACTAATATATATACATGCACTTACACTTCGTGCGAGAGTTTTACTTTCCTGCAATGACATCCCAGAGCAAAAAGACTTGCCAAATTTAACTAAATTTTGATGGACATTTTTATGCAAGGGAAAAGAATCTTCAAGAAAATGCTTTCTGTGCTTTATTAATAGCCTACTTGTTTATCAGAAACACCTTATAGAAACAGCAGGTTGATGAGACAGAGAACCTTGAAAAAAAAAAAATACGCAGAAACATATATAATGTATAACTACAAACGTAGGAATTTCTAAATAATAACTGCAGAAAAAAAAATAAAAAGCACCTGATCGATTGTTCGGATGTCAGGAGAAAGACCACCATGGACACAAAGCACCTACAGAAGCAAAAAGAGAGAACATCAATATTTAAGGATGCAAGTTCAAAAGCAAAACTATGCAGCACATGCATACATAGATACAAATGCAAACCAAAGCAGTGAAAAGGGGAACAGAGAGGGGCTTACAGTGCCATCAATGATTGCTGAGAGTGTTAGATAATCAAAGACATCAGTACAATATCGCCATGCATTGGCATTTCCATACTTCCTTTGGCACTCATCATAGAAACCATATACCTGGAAAAATAGAAGTTGTAGATGAATATATCATAGGCTAAAAAGCTACTGCAAGACTTGAAGGATCTATTACTGCAAGTATAGAATCATGGGACTGAAATCACTCAAATATGCACTTTCTGTTTATCGTGGCACCCACAGAATTTAATGTAATTACTGAACTCAGAAAGCAGTTTCCACACCAGCAAATAAAGGATACCCTTTGCAAATTGAGCCACAGTTAATGATAACAAAATCCAGAATTGATGGAATGCAGATATGTCCAAATATGATATCACTCTTGATTGTACTTCAGAACATGATATAAAAGTTCTTCTCATGAAAAAGAAAAAGGACATGCTATAAAAACTAAACAAAATTCTCAAGAAAAATGAGAACTTCCACCCACATACACACACACACATATCATTCCTATTCTAGAGATTAACTATTAATGTTCATAGAAAAATAAGAAAGTGTAAATAAATAGTCTTACCAATGGTACATCGTGATACCCAAAAAGTCCAAAAAACATTATAGCTAGACCAGTGTTTGAGAAACTTTCCATTTCCACATTCTTACAATTATTTTGTTGTCAGCAACAGAATCAATTTGATGAACAAATAAACATGGAATAACTAGATGCATACCTGAGTTAGTTGCCTACTCTCATGATTTCCACGCAAAAGTGTGATATTAGCTGGATATCTACAAACACAGCCAGAAATAGAAAAAATGTAATATTAGAAACCGAAGCAAAATTTTCCTTCACAAAATAACTTTATATGCAAAAATTTCTAAAACTAGCAATAGCATGAAAATTTTCTGACATTTACATTTTGAGCCTTTGGAGAGACAAGTGAGGATTTATGCAATATTTCAAATTACTGGTCTCAGGATCACTACAAGCAAAATAGTTGTTCCACAGATCTAGAATAACAATTTTAATCCACAGTGAGTTTGAGGTAATGGTGAACATATAATTTCTAATCTTTGACTCGGCAGAAACAAGGAATACGAATAAAATCAGCATCTTTTAGCTCCAAATTTTATAAATATAATATGACTGAAACCCCACAAATCCACCAAAATGGACTAAATAGTGAATCTTATCTAGAAACCTTATTGCCTCTAGTCATCCTAGCTTATTTCCATGTTGAAGTTGCTATCAATTTTGACTCATAAAATGCCAAGCAAACAATAATAAAGTATAGAAGTGATACTTAAAAAACTTTTGAATCTTTTGCAGTACTTATTCTGTCAGCATGAATCATCCTATGTCAGCCAACAAATTCATCAGTAGGAAAGTTTATTTTGATACTCATTAGGCATTGATCCTATGTTGCACGGTTTCTACGGCTGCCATTTCTGCGTTTCGGAGACATTTCCTACAAGGAAACGCTTGGAAACTCCTCGGGAAACATTTTGGGGCCGTTTCCATAAATTGAATAATTTGGAAACACGTTTATTGGACTTCGAATAAATTTCCATATTAAATACATTTCCATAAGCTAAAAACTCTTACAAACTCATTTCTCTGATAAAATAAATAAAAATTCACAAAACATGTATTTGTTATGAGTATGGAACTTATAATTCTTTTGGATACAATTAAATGTTTATTGGACTTGACTTGTTGTTGAATATATTTAATAGTTTACAATAATTTATTTTTTTATATTGATAAATATAAACCTATATTTTTCATATTTACATGTTTCCCCACGTTTCCGTTTTTGTGCAACATACTGATTAGCAGAGTTCATCGCATAAATGGAAATGGTTAAACAGATTCAACGGTTGCATTCAATTTTTAGGAATGCTTATGCGGCCAGAAAATTATCAAATGGCAATATGCAACAAGATATGATAATAACTCTAAAATGGGAATAAATAAACACGAATTCACAAAACATGTATTTGTTATGAGTATGGAACTTGTAATTCTTTTGGATATGATTAGATGTTTATTGGACTTGACTTGTTGTTGAACATATTTAATGGTTTATAATTTTTTTTTTATAAATTTATAAATATAACCCTATATTTTTCATATTTACGTGTTTCCCCCACACTGTTGCACGGAAACTTTCTCTAGCCGATGTTTCCACGTTTCGAAAACGTTTCTTGCATGGAAACGCACGCTTAGAAACTCCTCGGAAGCGTTTCGGGGCATTTTCATAAATTTAGTAATTTGGAAACACGTTTCCCCTCTTGTAAATACGTTTCTATAACTGGAAATCCTCAAAAACTCATTTCTCTAATTAAAATAAATACTTAAACAAATACAAATTCACAAAAATATGTATTTTTTATGAGCATGAAACTTATAATTCTTTTGGATATAATTAAATGTCGATTGAACTTGACTTGTTGTTGAATATATTTAATGGTTTATAATAACTTTTTTTTTATATTTATAAATATAATCCTATATTTTCATATTTACACGTTTCTCCCATGTTTCAGTTTCCTATATTTCTAATACTATTTCCCCGTGTCCATTTCGGCATTTCCATTTTTTTGCAACATAGCCCCCATGTTCTATTTCGAATATTTTTAAAAATATCGTTTCCCCGTGTCCGTTTCCGCATTTCCACGTTTCCGTTTTTGTGTAACATAGCATTGATCAACAGAGTTCACCACATAAATGGAATTGATTAAACAGATTCAGCGGTCGCATTCAATTCCTTTGACCAAAAGAGTCAACAACTAGTCTAAATTTGCATATCATAGGTCCACCCTACTCTATGCCAGTTTGCTTTCTTTTACACATAAAATCGCTAAGCTCTATCTTCCAACCATTTTGTTGGAAAATATGTAAGCAAGACTATGCTCTGCCAGGCAGTAGAATTCAGCCAGTAATCACATAATGGGCCAAGAACAAGCAAATTGAGAAATACACCCACTAAATGTATACTTAGTAGAGAGAACCACAGGCATATTAAGTGAAAATTACATGACAAGTGCACATTATAAAAGTTGTACCTTGCTTTGAGAAGCAAAAGAATAGTGAAAACTTCAAGACTATTGTAACCTCGATCCACGAAATCTCCCTGCCAAAGCGTAAGGAATGCTTAAGCACCCAGAAAATTATCAAATGGCAATATGCAACAACATATGACAATAACTCTAAAATGGGAATAAAACATACCATAAATATGTAATTTGTCTCAGGAACGTGGCCTCCAGTCTGGAAAAGTTTCATTAAATCATGAAACTGTCCATGAATATCGCCACAAACAGTCACTGGACTGTTAACTGGCTGCACATTGGACTCCTCGATGAGGATCTCTTTTACCTGTGTTATTTAAAAACAATAGTAACTAAAGGCCTTCAGGCGATAGAGTGATGGGCAACCTTAGTCTATACGTTGCTCGTAAGCCGCCAAGTACCAGTTTCACAACGGTAGTGGCGCCAAAGGATCAGTCCTTACTAAGTAATAAATGCTAAGTTGTCTCTGATTTTATGAACTTTCTCATTCTTTTTTCTCCCCCATAAAAAAAAGGAGTTTTAGTAAAGCCAAAAGTGTGTTAATAGTGGAGATAGTGTCAGCAAATTTTCTCTGTGGCAAAAATTTTAACAAGGGATCAAAAGGAAAGATGGAAAAAGAAGACATCGAATCAATTCTTTTATGTGTTCTGCTGAAACAAAACAAACTAAATTACATAATACAGTCATTCTTGATGAGAATCTGGCAAATGTAGGATATAAAACAATACTAAATATATATTCCATAATCTGGGTCCGTTAGAAGATAAATTGTAGCTAAGCCAAATACCAAAGAACGAAAATTTCGAAAGTGTTTGCAGCTGAAATTGTCCATTGACAAAAAAACAAAAACAACAGAGAGCACAAGGGTCTAAATTCCAGCGACATCTACCACATGGAAAACTCGAACTCTCCGTTTGGATGAAAGCAAGTAAGTAAGATAGAAAAAGTAAAGGAAAGGAGCAGATGCAAACCCTAATTCCATTCATATAAGACAAGAGAGCCGCAAACAAGAGAAGCAAAAAGAAATGAGAAAAAAAAAAAAGAAAAGAAAACCTACAAAAAGAAATAGAGAGAAGCAAATTTACATATTCGCAGAGAAGTTGAAGCTCGTCCTCTAACAGATGCTGCCCTTCCTTCACCTTGACAATCCACTGATCCAAATCCATCTCTCTTTATCGTAGTTCTATTCTATCTTCGGATTTGGACCGTCTCTTACTCACTCGTGTTTATCTTCCACCTATATTAAAGTAAAGAACAACAACACAACCAAAGAAAGTCAAAAAGAAAAATGAAAACTCCAGCGACAGAGAGGAGAGGAGACGAGACGGAGAGCAACTTTTTATTGTTTTCGCTTTTTTTATTTTTTTATTTAATTTTTTTCCTATTTATATTTCTTTCCTATTTAAAAAGCAAAAATTAGAATATTTATAGATCTAATTTTGATTTTTCATTTTCATGTTATCGATTAATAAATAAATTTGATTTTAAACAATGGGAGTAAGAGAAAAGGACGACGTGGTTGACGAGTAGGCCTCCTGTTCGTCTTCTTCCTATTTGATATTTCCATTCCTGGCCTACCTACCAATGCTTACTTTTTTTCCAAAAATTTACTAAATTGGAGAAAAAACGTCCACGAACGAATATATGGGCCGAGTCTGTCCAAGGCCCAAGTCCAGATCCCACAAATTTTTCTCTATTAATTTAAGTTTAACCGACATGTCTATCTTCCAATTTTTGTAAAAGAAAAATCCGTTTCCTTGAAGAATTTGTTTAGGGTTCTAATTGGGAAGTAATTGGTCTGTGTTCTGGGGAGCATCATTCATGGGAGAGGAATTATTGGGTTCATGCCACTCTACGATAGCAATTGATTCCTCAAATATAGGCTTTCAGGTATTCATTCACTCTCCATGTTTTTTTTTTTTTTTATATATATATTTTATGTAGGAATTATTTAACTATGTGCTCTCATTGTTATGTGGTGGGATTGCAGCTCCTGAAGAAGCATGGGTGGAAAGAAGGTACAGGTCTTGGAGTTTCTGAGCAGGTTAGGTTCTCTCCTATGCGTCTTGTGTTTTGATCTTCATTTATCGTTTTTCTTTTCTGGGTATTTTTATGCATGTAATTTCATGCTCTAATTTAGTCAAAGGCTTCCTCTTTAGCATCTGTGCCTGACTTAAATATTCCCGCATTATCACTAATCAGCTTTTGCTATAAACAGGGGAGGTTGGAGCCGGTACAAGCGTATCTGAAGAATAATAAACGAGGCGTAGGAGCAGATAAAGCAAAGAAGAAGACTCCCAAGCCTCTTGAATCTTCTACCTCCAAGAATAATGGGAAGGTGAGTTTCTTGACAATGTGGACTGCCTTACTGATATTAAATTCACAATTAATGACTTCGAGCACCTCCTTAGAAAAGAAAATACTTCTTAGCAAAGCCAAGAAGTGAAAATTTTTATGCCTTGAAAGTTAAAAAAGGCCTGCTGAGGAATTTGTAAGTGTGTACTTAATGGAGTCGCAATTTTTCCCCCTAATATGGAAGCACAAATTGAAAGGTCTCTTTCTAGCACTTGAGATCTTGTTAATAAACATAATGTAACATTATGCACACATATATGTGTTTCGCTGTCCAGTGTGTAGGTAGTTTCATGGTTGGTATTTTGAAGGACTTCCATTAATCCCTTGTGAAATAGATAACTAGTTAGCTGACAAACATTAATTTGATATGATTAATTAACTTGTTATCCTCTTTGCTTTGCCTTCCGCTCAATGGCACTAATAGTGATACTTTGTTACAAGTTTCAGGAACAGCCACTTCCAAAAAAGTTGAAAGCAGTTTCTAAGAAACAAAGGAAGATGCAGGAGTTGGAAAAGCATCTACTAGAAAAGGAATTTGAGAGAGCCTTTTTCCGGGAGTTTTGGCCAGATAATGTTTGATATGGGGAATACATCATCTGTTCTACCTTCTGTTTTGTTACCACTTGAAGTTGAATTAGATAGTCGACTATGTACAGTTGAGAAATTCTTTACGCCAACTCAAGGTGCTTGTCATTTGTAATTCAGATTTTAAAATTGTATTCAGAATATTGAAAAGACTGAAAAAATGTGTATGCCTTGAACTCAATTTTCTCTCCATGGCTGGTGGCTTTTGTTCTTTCTATTTTTCAGTGTTTCATAAACAAGGAATGATAATCAACTGTAACTTCCGACTTCTTGATTGGCTATATATGACATTAAACACTGTGCAGAACACAATGTGTTTGTAATAAGCAAAATTTTCAATCAGAAAATTATTCATATGACCTTTGTATTTAAGTAATCAAAAGCTCAATGGACTGCAGTGAGTGTGTTAAATGTTGAATTAGTGATTAAATTTTATTTAACAAAATCAATCATTAGTCTCTGTGAATAGGAGTTGGCAGCTTCAACAAAAGACTGGTTAAATTTTCTAAATGTTTATGAATTCAGAAGGAAGCTCAAAATCATATTAGTGTTAAAATTTTCTTTATGGTAGTCGGGGAGAGAGAGGAAAGATTATAAATTAGTTATACTATACTGAAAAATTAGTAAAATACTCTCTTCCAGTAAATTATTTTTATTTTTATTTTGATGCAGTTAATTCCTAGATTTCAATTTCCTTTTATTCTTGCCATTGTAAAAAAAGAAAAAAAAGAAAAAAAAAAAGTGTGAATTGGAGCATAGGGAGTTTATCAAGACTATACTAAAGCTAGGTTGATATAAATCGATGTGAAGAGGGCTGGGTTTGGCCACTTTTCCTTGCAACGCAGGCTCGGTCGGTTTTAGCGACAGTCTAGGCCCAAGTCCTATCCTCTTTCTGGTCACTGGAAAACTCTTTCCCGGAGAGGAAGAATGATGGGTCAAGCTCAAAGCCAGGTCTCCGCAGATCAAACTCAGAGCCAGTATTCATCGTTAGTCGCACCACATAATTATCAGCAACCTACTCCTATAGGATCTCTTATTGCAGGTAATTTCTTTATTTCTTAATATAAATCTGTTATCTTTTTCTGTGTGAAAGCAATTGTGGGTTTTTGGTGTTGTTGCGAAAAGTTCCATGTGGAGTCGTGGACTTGCCGTGAATTTGTCATTCTAATACTATTGTAAGCTCTGGTTAGCCTTGGATTTTTTTTTTTTTTTAAATGATCCGCAAATCATAATGCGGTTAGGCCTATGTTATTTGCAAAATTTATCATCGAAAATTTCTCATCTTTTTTTGTCTGGTTGGTGTCTTGTTGGAGAAACATTAGAAATCTATATCTAACTAAATCCACAGATAGATAAGGAGTCATATTATAGGTTCATGCTTATACATTTATGGTTAATAATCTGGTAAGGTGTTGACCATCTTAATTAATTAATGAAGTCTCTTCAACTAGACCAGTGGCAGTGGACCAGTAGAAATAAAGGAAAGATTATGCTTTGCAATTCAGTGACTCAGATGTAATAGCATAAAATTCATGATTGGATGTTCTTCTGTTTGATTTTTGCTTGCTTGGATAAAACTGTCTGTTTCTTTATGGTATGATAAAGATGTTGGTTAGTTCTTCGACTGATATCTTGGGCTTGTACAAAAAGTTTACATGATTAAAATTAACTATACAATGTACAGTTCCATTCATTTGAAAACCTCTTATTTTGAGCTAATCCAATGCTTCACCAAGGGATGCTGTTGTACATCTTTTGAAAGAGTTGGGTTCTGTCACAGATTGCAGAAATTATTCTGAGTTCTGACTCTGCACCTCACCTCAGGCAGGATAGGGTGGATATGATTTGGTGGGTCCTACTTCGAAATTTTTCTATTGTGAATAAGTTTATTGTTTCTTGCTTGCAGAAGCAGCAGCATATGGCAGTGATGGCAGTGATGAGACTGAGGTTAATCCACTTCAGATATATACCTTGTTTGCTTCATGATTTGGAACTGTATGTAACTGAGTTGAATTATGGATTTTTCAGTCTCTTGATGCAAAAGCTCGAAAAGCATTAGAATGCCCATGCATAGCTGACTTGCGTAACAGCCCATGTGGGCTTCAGTTTTCAGATGCGTTTCTTTGTTTTCTCAAAAGTACTGCCGAGGAAAAGGTATGCATTGTGTACTATTGATGATTGTCCTTTTTTATTATTCAATCACAGATTTTTGTTATCCTTATATTTTCCTGCCTCTACCCCTCCCACCTTCCATTTGTTATAAAAGGTGCACATTGTTGTTCTTGTTGGAAGCGTGTAGAGTTCGCCATATTATTCTGATGAAAAACTATCCACGTATTTTACCCATTCAGATGCCAAGGAGACATTAGGACAAGTAAGAATTTAGCAGTTTTGGTTACCAACATTTATTGTTGCTGTCGGGCCCTATGCCTTGATTGAATTCATGAAAGGATTGAAAGTGATCTAATTTCTAAAGGGCGAATCTCACCAGGCAAAAGGCATCAATTTCTTAAACCCTGAATTGTTGATAGTTTTCGACAAGTTGCAAATGCTAATGGTATAATCTAATTGCTAGCAGGAGTTATGAGACTATTCATGACAATTCAGCCCCTTGGGCATTCTTTTTACACCAATGTGAATGCGTTGGCGTTCCAGTATTGAGTTTAGAATGGTTAAAATTTTTGAAACTGCTCCAAATTTATAGAAGTATTTGTTTCCTCAGGGTTCAGACTGCGTGCATCCTTTTGTGGCTTTGCAGAATTGTATGAAAGCTAACCCCGATGCATTTTCCAAGGACGTTTTAGAAGAGGAAGTGAAGAAAGGTGAAGAGCCAGCCCAAGAATACAAAATTATCCCGCCTCTGTGGTCACGGGAATCTCCAAGCCCAAATTCCAAGCTTTAAAAGACATAATGAGAAATTCTGATTCCAACTTTCAATCTGTTGATGACTCTACATATTGAATGAAGATTCATAGATGTGAAAAAGTTCAAGAAGATGGTTTATTTTTGTAGTTTAGAATTTGGATTCTGAAACACAATCTGAAGGGAACTGAGAAAGAGCATTGTACTTGTTTTTATAATTTTGGATTCTTATCTGGGAATGGTAAGCTGGAACCTGATGCTGTTTTTGAGGTTATGTGAAGAAGGTTTTGTTGTGGGAAGGATTGGGGAAAAACATACATGGACCCTGTTTATTATTCCTAACTTATTTCCATTTTCTTGTTATTTCAGAAATAGATAGAAATGGAACTTAAAGTGCTTTTGGTCATTGGTCTGGTGTTTGACATATATTGTGCAAATCAAGAGAAAATCTGGAGTAGACAAATAATTTTAGTTTCTAATTGAAATTAAAATTTTTTAAGCAGAGAGTTTAATTATAATTGCTTTTTAGTTATAGGCAGATTTTGCATACAACAAATGAGGACATGTACCGAAATAATAGAGTGAGCTATGCAACGAGAATTTTCAATCTGCACACGAGTGAGGAGAAGAATGCCTGGAACGGTAATTTTACCTATTTATTACACAGTTATTTCAGTTTATGGCAAAATAAAATGCCTCAAAAAGAAATAAATAAAAAAATTAAAAGAAAATAAAATGTTTGGGGAAAACCCATAAACCTCGGTCAGTAGGTGATTTGGCCAAACGTTCCCAAAGTCTGACTGACAAGCGCCGATTAGCAATGGCTTCCCTTGCTGCTTCTTCATCTCAACTGTTTCTCCGACCCAAAATTCCCGAACTGTTCTTGCCTTGTAGTTCTACGCCAAAGCCCTTATCATTCTTAAATTCTCCTTGTTTGTACGGACGGAGAGGAATTCTCATTGTTTCCGCAGCTAAGAGCAGCTCCAAATCAATCCAGAACGATACCAGGAGTCAGAAATCAACCTCGGAAGATAAGAAAGTCGTTAAAGAAGACGAAGAGATAGAGGTTGAAGAGGAGCTGCCTTGGATTCAAGAGAAAGCCTTGGACTTGGTGGAGTTCACGGGCTCTGTTACTCAGGCTATTCCTGGCCCGAGAGTTGGCCAGAGTTCCTTGCCTTGGATTCTTGCTCTCCCTTTAGCTTATGCTGGCGTCACCTTTGTTATTGCCTTTGTTAAGACTGTCAAGAAGTTCTCTTCTCCTAGAGAGAAGAGAAGGAGACTGGTCAGTCAGAGATTCATTGCTCATATATTGTGTTTTAATTCATTTGGCCGTATGTGTGCGCTTAATTTCGAAATTAGAAGCAGTTTTGTTTTGTGTATGAAACATTTTGGGATGCTCTTTCTGAGCTATGTTTTCTCCACGTTGCATACTTTAGCTACATTGTTGAGAAAGTAATTTGGTGTTCATATCTTCAGGTCAATAAAAATGCTATGCTTTGCAAATCGATTGATGAATTGCTTCAAAAAGGTGGAGATGCTTTAGAACATTCAGCCCTTAAAGCACTGGAAAATAAGGTGAGCACTCGTTACAGCTGAAATCTATGATACTTTTAATGTCGTGAATTACAATCAATCTGCATTCTCTATTTCAAGATTTTGAATAAGCTGCTGGTTCCATTTCATAGTCTGTGGTCTGGAAATGATCCTTTCATCTTTATAACAGATAGAACTAAGGTAATTATTTGAAGGCAGAGAGCCCTTTGTGCAATTTATGATTCAAAGCAATTTTACAGGGGTCATTTCCATCCCGACGCTAATTTTGTGAATCTCTTTGTCTGATTGAAGTTAAAAAATGAGGATTTGGATTTATCCAATTTTCTTTTTATGCCCTTGGCACCTTCTCTCTGTTGTTTAAGCACTCTGACTGCGGAGTGTTCTCCCAAAAGGCTTACTGTCAGTTCATTATTGTCAGTTTTTTAACCCTTGAATATTGGAAAACAAAAATGCATTAATATTTGTAATCTTTTTTTGGGAGCATTTTACACTCTGGTTGATTTTGCATGCTTATTCTTGTTAGTCCTGTTGTGAAGAATTGATATCACTACCATTTGAGTTTTGATGGCAACTGCTAATTCATATCCAGACAGGTTTTAGCATGGAGGACATTTTCCGCAAGTACATTCGGTATGCATTGAATGAGAAACCATTTAATCCAGAATTGGTTGCCAACTTAATCCAGCTGAGGAAGGCTTCAATGTTGGATGACTCCCTGGTTGCTGAAATTTTGAATGACATCTCAAGACGGATTGTGAAGGAAAAAGGTAACTCATTTTGGAAGTGCTTGATATGATATCACTACCTGTCTTAACGTTGGTCTTATCTACTAGGATTTCCGTCCTTGCCTTAGTCTTTCATCTTCTACAAGATGAGGAAAGGAGCTCAGGGTAGGGACTGGAGTCACTGGGTTAATTATGTTCTCATTCGTTGTGTCTGGGATATTGGTATTTCATTTTGACTAGGCTATATAAAGTATTAAATACAATATAAAAGTATCAGCTTTCATTTCAAATTCTGACGTCTTTTCTATGCTCTTCAGGCCCAGTTGTCATGGATGTGGAAGGGTATACTGAAAAAGGATTTAAGAGAAAACTTGCTGTGCAGGCCCTTTTTGGGAAGGTGTATTATTTATCTGAGGTAAGTGGCTGAATAAGCATATTAATAACCTTGTACATAGATTTGTTTTAAAATTTTAACTTTTGACAAGTTGCATTTATCGCTATACCATATCGTGTTCCTTTCTTTTTCCCTTTGATCTTTTGTTCTTTATGAACAACGATTCCATTGGACTTTCTAGATTTTAGAACTTCCTCAGGAAAGTAGTTGAATTGACCTTGATTTGTTTATGGCTCTCACAATTGTGGCCTATACTAGATTGAGATGTGAAATGAGCTAATTGATGCATCCATTGGGAATTTAGAGATGGATGTTGTTTCTGACTCATTGAATTCTAATATCTTAAAGCTTAATTTGATCATCACTTGTGTTGTTTTGTTGTTTTAAAACCTTCTATACTATGCCAATAAATTGTACTTTGTTCTGTGTTCGTGGCCAGCTGCCAGAATTCTGTTCGAGGGGAAGCTCCTTGATTGTCAAGGAGATATTTGGTGTTACAGAGTAAGCCTTTTATCCATTTGATTCTCCTAAAGAATGACAGTTGAAGTTTATGATAATCTTATATACGAGCATTTCATTTTTCACAACTTTCTACAGTTTTAGTTAAAAAAAAAAAAATAGTAATAATGCTTTTCCCTCCCCTTTTGCCCTTCAACAGTGAGGATGCTTACAAACTTCGAATGCATACTCTTTCTGAAGCTGGTGATGTGGATTCACTTGAGAAGATGATTGATGGATCTGATTCAGAAGATTCAGATGAGCACTCATCAAATGTTCCTTGAATTGATATAGTTGCAGAGACATTCTGCCAAGAGAGGATCTCAGGAGTTATCCTCTAGTTAATTAGTTGGGATGGAAATGGATGAGTGATTTTTTTTGCTTTCATGATCATGTGAACTTTAAAAATTTTGATTGATTCAATATGCTACTCTGTGGAAATTGAGTTTATAGGTCATTTTTGTATGATCATTGTGGAGTGAAATTTTTTGATTCGAGACTGTTACTTGTGGTTGGAAGTGGGTAGAAAGGCATGGTCATGTAGCATGCTTAGATGAAAGAAAGGTAAAACATTCATTTAGCAGCAGGAATATTGGCAGACGAAGTTCGATCCTCATGAAAATGCAAATTATTTTCAGGGTGAAACGGATTCATGATGTTTCTTTCACAGTTGAAGGAATAGATCAGCAAAGGGGAAAATGGTTTTCGTTTAGATGAAAGAAAATCCCCCCAAAATTTTACATCACGCCATCAACCAAATGGATAATGAGTGAATTTGGATAAATTTCTACCCAAAGGTTTTAACTTTTACCTATAAACGTTGGTTTCGGTTCTGATTCTGAAAATTAAAAAACTGAACTACTTTGGTTCCAGTTTTATTGGAAACCAAACCAGAACCGGTTTGCACAACACTAACGAGGCAACTAAGGGACTGCACTGGTGCAACAACCCAACCACATGTGGAGTGGCGTGGAGGCGGAGAATTCAAGGCCACCGACTTGACGGCCTGTACATCTACTACACTTTGTACCCTATGAAACATCTCCTGCTAACCTTAACTTTTTTCTTCAACAATGATGGAGATTGCCCTTTCCAATCCTTCAATCTCCATCCCCAAATACTTCCATTTCTCTTCCCCTCTTTCTAATTGCAAATACTCCCCTGCTTCAAGAATTCGATGCCAATCTGTAGATTCATCCAATACTGCCGTTGCGAAGAAGGGAATGATGGGCCCACATACGGGCAGAGATCCCAATGTGAATAAGCCTGATTGGTTGCGGAAGAGAGCTCCTCAAGGGGACAGGTTTCAAGAGATCAAACACACTCTCTCTCATTTGAACCTCAAGACCGTTTGCGAGGAAGCTCAATGCCCCAACATTGGGGAGTGCTGGAATGGAGGCGGGGATGGTATTGCGACTGCTACTATTATGCTTCTTGGAGATACCTGTACTCGCGGCTGCAGATTCTGCGCCGTTAAAACCAGCAGAAATCCTGCACCCCCTGATCCTATGGAGCCTCTAAACACTGCTGAAGCAATTGCAAGCTGGGGGTAGTTCTTTGCTCTTCAATTTTTCTTTTTTATTTCTAATTTTTCGCTTGCCCAAGTCAATCTCTTATTATTTTTGTAGTTTTTTTTTTTTTTTTGCTTGCTACAATATTTCAGGGTCATTAGTCCTTCATCTTAATGGCTTTATTTTGTTTAAACTGAAATCAACATAAAGCCATTCCATTATACTCTTGGTACCCTAGACAGCTCAATTTATCAGTTATTCCTGCATCAGGGCCTTACAATTATCATATCAATTTTGGTATATGCGGGTGCTACGAGTGCATGCTGTATTGTCTCCGATAAAAACATCCAATCTATAGTTATCATGCTTCTCTCCCTGTCCCGTGAGATGTGCATACTAGTACTCCCACCCCCACCACCCCACACCACCGATGGTGCATACTAGTACTCCCACCCCCCACCACCCCACACCACCCCCCGCGGGCCCCCCCCCCCCCCCCACAGTTACTGATCAGGACTGATTTTCTAACACTTCATTGTTTTTTAGAGATATTCTACTTTTTATGTTTCCCCCCCCCCCCCCCCCCCACAAAGTTACTGATCAGACTGATTTTAAACTTCATTGTTTTAGAGATATTTATTTTATGTTTAGTCGTTCCAATCCCTGTTCCTTTTGTTTCTGCTGCATACTGGATCTCTATGCCTATCAAATATATTTTTCTTTACCAGCTGTCTTTGGATTTTTTGTAGTGTGGATTATATAGTTCTAACAAGTGTAGATCGTGATGATCTTCCTGATGGTGGAAGTGGACATTTTGCTCAGACTGTTCAAGCTGTGAAGGTCTCTATTTCTATCATGAAGTTTTTGTTAGGCTATTTGTGGTTCTCTTGTTCTTGTATCTGGTATAGGAACATCAATGACAGATTTGGCTTTTCTTGCAGAAACTCAAACCTGATATCATGGTTGAGTGTTTAACCTCTGATTTTCGGGGAGACTTAGATGCTGTAGAAGCTTTGGTACATTCGGGATTAGATGTCTTTGCTCACAACATTGAGACTGTGAAACGGCTCCAACGAATTGTTAGAGACCCTCGAGCTGGGTGAGTAGCACGGGTGTTCAATCGGGTGATATTAGACCTGATTACAAGATTTAAGTTCGCCAGCAACTATACAAACTTTAAAGTATATTATATAAAAACCTTTAAGAAATCTTAAAATAAAAGAACCTGTTTTAACTGGATGCACACCCCTATTGAGTAGTGTGTTTGATGGTTGGAACATGGTTGCAAATTCACTTGTTTATATTTTATTTTAATTGCTTCTTGTTTTAAGATGTTACTCAAAGTCTGAAAATGGGAGTAAAATTACTGGTTGGATTTCAAGATTCAATGCAATTACTCTGTGTTTTTCTTCAGTCAACCTGAACCATAACTTACTCGGTTGACTTCATGACTGGTTATATATGACAGAAAGTATGATGTAGAACACACAATGTGTTCGTAAAAAGCAACAATTTCAATTAGAAAATTATCATATGACCTTTGTATTTAAGTATATCACGAATCAATTGCATGAATGAACTGAGTTTTGAGGTTGCTGAAGTTAATACTGACATTACAACTGATTGCTTATAGGTGCGAATGCAATTCTAATAATGTTGTCCGATAATGCAGGTATGAACAAAGTTTATCAGTTTTGAAACATGCAAAGCTCACTGAAGAGGGAATGATTACAAAATCTTCTATAATGTTAGGTCTCGGTGAAACTGATGATGAATTGAAGGAAGCTATGGCCGATTTAAGGGCAATAGATGTTGACATTTTGACACTTGGACAATATTTACAGGTACTGTATTCAAATTAGTTTTCATGCCATTTAGCTCAAGTGTTTTGGTTGTAATATTGTAAGGCTTTGGATTATCATTTAGAAGCATGCTAGAATCTGTTCTCTACTTTTACTGAGGTTAGCCTTACTGGGTGTATGAGATTGACCTTAATCTGGTACTGTTTTGCCCTTGGTGATTCTGACTTTGCAAAGTGGTTTGAGCTTACTAGTTAAACTGCTCAGGCATTGATAGTGTTGTCTTGTTATTTTGTCTTACTATATATCAAATGGACTCCTAGAAAATTACTAATCCGAGGGTGGCTATACTGCAGCCAACTCCATTACACTTGACTGTCAAAGAGTACGTTACACCGGAGAAATTTGCTTTCTGGAAGGAATATGGGGAGTCTATTGGATTTAGATATGTGGCCAGTGGTCCTCTGGTAAGCTCTATCTGCCTGTTTAGATATATATATTGAGATATGGTGGCCAGTGGTCCTACTGGGTAGAGCTCTAATCGCCTGTTTAGATATCGTTATTAGTATATATAGCTAGGGTGTTATATATATGTAGATATTGATTTATCAGGTATAGTAAGTTTGTGTGTATCATCAAGGGGTCGTTTATGCTGACGTGTGAATAAAATATGCCGAGGTTAGCGTGAAAGTTGGAAATGTGTATGGAGAACAAGCAAATTTATTATGGAGTTGTAATTCTTGGTATACCAGAATTAGGCGCTGTGTAAAATCCATTCATGACCATAATGAAATTTTAACTAAGGTTTGGGAGAGAACTCTGGCTGCCACAAGATAACCGAGGAAATTTGGCATGACTATAATTCTTCGAAGCTATATCATTTTTACCAAGCTTGAGTTCATTCTAAAGAGCTTTCTTGAATCAAGTTAAACCTGTGTAAATGCTTTTTGGAAGAAGGTTTAACATTTTTGATTTCTTTCTTTCCAAGGTACGGTCCTCATATAGGGCAGGCGGGAAACTGTTTGTTTGAAGACAATGGGTGAGGAGAAATGGCTCCAGGTGCCACTTGCTGGTGCCAAAAGACCCGTAGCTGTTATCTCCTCCGCCATTCGGCTCTCATGCCGGCTTCTGGCTCACTCACTCACCACTCGACAACCATCCTAAATCTTCCCGCCCTTGCCCCCGCTGACACTTTGTCATCAAAAATTTTTGGCGATAACTTTGAGGCATTCAGCAAGTCTTGTAATTGTTAGATGAGACCGCCCTCTTCCTCTAGTTCTCCTCTCGGATATCCGCTGCCGCGCCAAATTGTTACTGCTACTCTCTGCATGTCGTCAATGCCGCTCATGCTACAACCACTTGCACAGTCCGCGATCTCTCCCATCCCCACCACTCAACACTCACACCTCACGCATTTACGCACCACGACACGCCGCCGACACCTCTTCAAATGAGCGCTGACTTACTCGCCACACTAACCACCTCCTCCGTCACCTCGGCTCTCACACTACCACACCCCGCCGACAGGCATCTGCGCATTGCCTCCCCAGCACCAACTCACTCTCTTCCGCTACTTCTCATCACCTCTCTCTTTCGAACTGGTTATGGTCTCCCGCTCTCAACCCATACCACACCGCACACCGCGCCTCAGCGCCGCCGCAGCGGGCGCTTCACACATGCACCACTCTCTTTTTGAATTTATGCTTCACCCGGCGTGGCAAGACAATCACAAGTGTATATATATATTTGTTGTATCTCAGGGTCTTATCCTTGTGTGAATAAATATCGTTGCGTGAATGAATGTGTAGGAAGACAAGCAAATTATTAGGAGTTGTAATCTGTATACCAGTTAGTGCGCTGTTAAAATCCATTCATGACCATATGAATTTTAACTAAGTTTGGGAACTCTGCTGCCACAAGATAACCGAGGAAATTTGGCAGACTATAATTCTTGAAGCTAATATCATTTACCAGAGCTTGAGTTCATTTAATAAGCTTTCTTGAATCAAGTTAACCTGTGTAAATCTTTTGAAGAAGTTAACATTTTGATTTCTTTTTTCCAGGTACGGTCCTCATATAGGGCAGGGGAACTGTTTGTTAAGACAATGGTGAGAGAAATGGCCAGTGCCACTGCTGCCAAAACCTAGTGTTTTGCCATTGGTTATGGCTTTGGGCACTATACTTGAAATCTAAATTTGCTTGCCGTGAACTTTGTATAAAAATTTTTGGCGTAACTTTGAGCATTTAGCAAGTTTGTAATTGTAATGAGAGTCTTTATTCTTTGATATCGGGATGTAATGCTATTTGATGTCGTAATGGTATGCTAAAATTGCAAGTGGAATTTCCATCACCACTCAAATCAATAGATTTAGAGTAGACAGGGAAACTACTAAAATGAGGTGATTAATGCAATAACCCTTGTATGGTTAAAACAAAGCGAAGGATGCCATTGCTAGCAAATATTTCCTATTTATTTTTTGAACTGGTTTGGTTCCGTTCAAATAACAGGCACAGGTCAGGGGAGGGGGCTTCCAAATGACATTTTTTTGAACTTTATGCCTTCACCGCGTGGCAAGACAATCACAAGTGTAGGCATCTTGTCTTGTGCATGTACCTGTTTGATTAATTGACGCAACCAAATTTCTGCGAGAAAGATCAATGACCCTAAAGTTTTTTTTAACATTTTTTCCTTTTTTCTTTTTTTGCCAACTTACTTAGCCGAAAACGTGGAAGGGTAAGGCTACGGCCTATGCCTATCCAATGCTTTAATTACTGTCTGCAAAAATAATTACTGTCTGTAACATAAACAATACAATACAAAAGCAATTAAACAAACGAAAAAAAAAAACAAAGAAAACGTAAAACCCCCACAAAATAATACTAATATTTATAATTCCTACTGTACATAACTTTCGCCTTTCGGTGTTGAGTGCTTTTTGGGGATTTCGTCTTCTCCTTCTCCTTCTCCTTCTCCGTACGCGTTCTATTTCTTGTTTGTTCTTATTAATTAAAAAAGGGAGGATTCCCATTTCCAATTTTCCATTGGATTTCTATTTCCATTTGGGGGCTCCTCTCTCTGTTTGGGTAATGCTTTGTGGTAAGAAATCTTGATTGTCATTCTCTCTCATTATTCTACTCTTTTTTCTGCTTTTCAATTTCCCTTCTTCATTTTTTCTTTCCTTCTGGGTATAGATTTTGCTCTGATCAGTGTAATCCACTTTATCCATTTATCTTTTTATTATTATTATTATTATTATTGAAATTTTTCCATCTCCTCTTTTCTTATGTATTAACTAATACTAGCATCAGCACTTAATTACTCAATCGGAATCTGTTTGCTTATTACCTTCTTCTTAACTTGAAGAAGAATACTATATGAAATAAATTGTTTGTTAATGCTTATGTTCGTACGGTTTCAATTCAATTCAGCTTAATCTTCACCGGCAAAGGCTTAAAAATTAGACTTCATTTTTTCTATCAGTTGGCGGACCTTCACATATTTACCATCACCGATGAAACTAGGCTACATCTAATCTGAAATGATTGAACAGGTTAAGTATTACGCTGCTCTTGGTATCAATTTGTAATTTAAATTTTCATGCTGTTCTTTCACAACCAAACCCTCCAGAAGTAGCTGCCTCTTTGCGTCTCTTAAGGTCTTTCGCAAGCACAATGCTTTGCAACCTTGTTTCTTATTTGTCTCCGCTGCTAGTTTATTGTCCAAGAACCCCTTTTTATGGATGGGGGGACACAGTTCATCAATCAACATTTTGTCCTTTCATTTCATGTTTCTTGTTTTTCACTACTAAGTTCCCAATTTGCTTCTACCGTATGAAATCTTTTCCTCTTGCTGTCTTATGCATGGATGTACATCTCTTGTATTGTTATTTTGTTTGGATTACTTGTAGGATCAAAAGTTTCCCTCTCATACTTGCTTCAGATTTCTTTTGTAGAGTATATATGGGCTGATTTGGACATTTCATGGGAGTTGTAGAGGATAATGAACCGCCTTTGAAACGTGTAAAGGTGCCCTTAGGAAAATCAAAGAACTTCTTGGAGCCCTCATCTGTTACAGAGCCAGTAGCTCGCTCATTGGGAGATTTAATGGCTTGTCCTCTAACCTCCCAAGGAGATGGAGAAACAGTTGGATCAAGAGGAGTCATTAAGAGATTGGAATTTGTCAAAATCATAACTAGGGCACTGTACTCACTTGGTTATGACAAGAGTGGAGCTCTTTTGGAGGAAGAATCAGGTATACCCTTGCACTCACCTGTGGTTAGCTTGTTTCTGCAGCAAGTGATGGATGAAAAGTGGGATGAAAGTGTGGCCACGTTACATAAAATTGGTATTTTGGATGGACTAACTGTGAAATTGGCTTCTTTCTTGCTATTGGAACAGAAGTTCCTCAAATTTCTGAAAATGGATAATATTGTTGCTGCCCTAGATACCCTAAGGAATGAGATTGTGCCTCTTCATATTAATTTTAACCGTGTTCATGAGCTTGCTGCATGTGTTATTTCTCCTTCCCGGTGTTCAATTTTTGCTCAGGATACTGAGGGTGCAAATTCAAGGTCAAAGATTATAGAAAAACTACAGAAGCTGCTACCTCCTACAGTCATGATTCCTGAGAAAAGGTTAGAACATCTTGTTGAGAAGGCTCTCGATGTACAACGTGATTCTTGTGTGTTCCACAATACTTTGGATAGTGATCTGTCATTATACTCGGATCATCAGTGTGGACGAAACCAGATTCCTTCTCAAACAATGCAGGTTAGGTGTCTTCTGGGTTCATGGCCCTTTTCTTTCAATATCTTACATGTTCTATTTCTGTTTGCCTTCTCAATACTCAGCTAATAAGCTGAATTGGAATCATTATTTTGTTTGCATATGAGAAATGTAAAACCTAATAGTTAGACTTTCAAGGAGTGATAACAATTTTTCCCTCTTAAACTTAGTCTTAAATGTTTCATTTGTTTGATTTTTAATTTCACGTTTCCACATCTTTAAAGATGAAACAAGAAATTGGGTTGTACATGGTTTACATCTCTTTTTCATGACTTATCTTGTTTATCTTTGCTTTGATATAGGCTTATTTTAAGCTTTGGTTGAGATTCCTGTTGTATAACTTAGGTTACTTGTAAAGAAATGCCCTTTTTTAAGAAATGGATTTGTGGAAAAAAGAGAGAAGGTATGAGGCAGAATCCCAATTCCCAATTTCAATGTGCACTAACACTAGCAGACCCTATTTAGTTGTTGTTGCTTGCCTTATGCTTTTTTATTTATTAATATAGCAAATGATTTTAAAATTTATCTTTCAAATTTTACCACGAGATGTGTTTCAAATCTTTTCACAATTTTAAATACTACTATTTAGACTATAGCGGATATTGAAACAAAGAATTCGTATAACTGATCTGAACTGGTTTGGGACAAAAGTTTAGTTGTTTTTATTGTATTCATAAATAAAACTATACATGGTTTATTGGATATTTGCTACTTTACGTTCTAAGTAAAGTTGTATTTTTTTATGAGAAAACGTTCAATATTTAAGAAAGAACTGTAAAATATTACAAAACATGGATTTACTCTTCTATGGCATATACTGCCCTTATCTTATTGAAAATTCACAATGTATAAATTTTCTGTTTATACTTAATGAACAGATTCTTGAAGCACACAGTGACGAAGTTTGGTTTTTGCAATTTTCACACAAGGGCAAATATTTGGCCTCATCGTCCAAGGATCAGTCAGCAATCATATGGGAGGTAAGGTTTCTCTGTTATTCTTCACTTATAATCATGGACAGTTCATGTCATCTCTCCAGTGGGCCTTAAAATGAATTCAAAATACTAGAAATTCGCAATATATCCACCCTTTTTGTCACCATCATGTAGCACCCACTCATTATCATCACCCCAATCGCCCACCCTTCCTGCACCATCCAGAAGCATGGATCCTCCTGATTCTTTGGTTTCCTTCTTGCTCTCATTGCCTTTATCAGCATTTGTATCTTGCATAACTTCTTTTTCTCTGCCAATTTCCTTGTTCTTTTTCGGAGTTCTGGGGATTTCCTCCCTGAGAAGATGATTTCCACCTAGTTCTGCTGGCTGCCGTCACTTCGGTTTGACAAGATTTAGCTTCTTAGCTACTAGGTAGGTTTCTTAGATTGTAGGAGGAGCTTTGGCAGGGATGGGGGAAGAGATAAATGGTTGCATTGTCGGAGGATAATGGAGAGAGGGTCGGGAGGAAATAGAGGAAAAATTAAAATAATTTGTATTCTATTCGGCAACACATTTTTGTTTATCTAATTTCAATCAACTGGTTACATAAATTTATATAGTCTGGTTAGGATTTAAGTTCCTCTAAAAGGTTTGAATTTCTTTTTCTGGTAATTGGCCTTCAATATAACCTGTTTGAGATTTATAATCCTATTCTTATTAACAATCAACATTATGTGAAGAACTATGCTTATGGTATCAAAGATGAGTGATCCATTGGTGTCTCTCAGCTAGTAAGTATGTTTGCAGAGAACTATGAGATATTTTTATTATAATACAAGGATATGATGTCTTTGTTTCTGTGATGCGATGAAGTGATGGATTGCCAGATGCCTAGCTTTAATTGTTAGCCATGTCATACTAAATTTGCCTGAGTATTTTCACCAGGCTGAGCTCCTCGTTTGTGCTTTTTCTAGATCAATGCCCACGTGCACATCTTTACATATATGCATTTCTTGATGGTGTATTGTAATTATTGGATATTTAGGCTATAAATGCTTCTGCAGATAATGTGGACATGTACATATCTTACTTTGTTTTGTATGTTTACTTTAGTATGACTGATTATAGTTAAATGTGTAGTGAATTTGGCTTTAATTTGACTTTTTGGTTAATCATTATATTTAACTATTGTAGATTAAAGAGGATGGTCAAGTGTCATTGAAGCATGCGTTAAGGGGTCACCAGAAACCAGTATTGACGGTTTCATGGAGTCCTGATGACAACGAACTCCTTACTTGCGGACAGGAAGAGGTTATCAGACGCTGGGATGCCAGTTCTGGAGAATGCATCCATATTTATGAAAAAGTTGGCATCGGCTCAGTCTCCTGTGGATGGTTTCCTGATGGTAGGGGGATTTTTGCTGGCATGACTGACAAAAGCATCTGCCTGTGGGATTTAGATGGAAAGGAGCTGGAATGTTGGAGAGGGCAGAGGGCAGTCAAAATATCAGACACAGCCATAACTGATGATGGAAAGAGGATCATAAGCATATGTAGAGATACTGCAATACTGTTGCTTGACAGGGAAGTGAAATTTGAAAGGCTGATTGAAGAGGAGCAAATGATTACTTCGTTCTGTCTATCAAAAGACAACAAATTTCTTCTGGTTAATCTTATAAACCAAGAAATCCACCTGTGGAGCATTGAAGGCAATCCCAAGATTGTGTCCAAGTACAAAGGTCATACACGTGCTCGATTCGTCATCAGATCCTGCTTTGGTGGATTTGAGCAAGCTTTTATTGCAAGTGGGAGTGAGGATTCTCAGGTACGTTCTCTCTCTTTCTGACAAATGTTATAGCATAAAAAATATGCGTCTACTGTTCCCTTGAATTAGTTCTGCCTGTGCATTAATTTTATTTTGCTTTTGCCCTTGTGAAGCATGGTCCAACTATTATATTGTGTTTCCTTTGTATATGTTGTACCTGGAAATGGGTGCCGGATGGCATTTCATAAAAGATGCAATATCTGGTATTTCTTTGCAAATGTTTAACTTGCTGCAGATTGATAAGTTATTGCAGTATTGTATAGTCCATGGACATTGCATCTTATGAATGCTTTTGATGCAAACTTTTGTCTGTCCATGTTTGGGTTTACTTAAATAGCAGCACTTGCTGCTGTTTCCAAGCATAAGTTTGCACGTGTTTACATGCAAGAGAGAGTTCCACGTTTTGTACCGTGCATGTGTGGCTTGCTAATTTCTTTAATGGTTCGTATGACCATATATCTGTCAAGATGACTGTTGATTGACAGGATGTGGTGATTCTTGTTGCAGGTGTATATATGGCATCGAGGCTCTGGAGAACTCCTATTGGCACTTCCTGGGCATTCTGGAGCTGTTAACTGCGTGAGCTGGAATCCAGCAAATCTTCACATGCTAGCTTCTGGTAGTGATGACCGTACAATTCGAATATGGGGTCTAAACCATCACAGCCTGGAGCAGAGAAATCAAAGCAATGGCATCACTCACGCCTGCAATGGAAGAAGTTGAAACATTTTCCGAACAGATGCGGAGTTTATCCAAAGTTACCAAAATACTAATGTTCTTTAAGTTGATTGAAATTTGTAAAAGACCTTGGATGATTTACTTGTGTTCATGGCATCTGATAGCTGGCAAAATGGTACCAATTGTGAGCTAGCTATCTATCAACAGAATACAAATTTAATTACCATTGTTCTTTCATTTCTTTATTATTTTGTCTGCAGTGAAGATTTCATTTCTCGCATTGCATGATATTATGGGGAAGCTATGATCAGATTCCTGTATGAGGTCACCGACCATGTTTTATGAGGTGGGTTGCTGTCATGATAAAGTCAAATTCAATACACATTTGTATTGTAACTTTAAGTTGATGATATGGGGATACATTAAATGCTCAATGCTTATATAATTACAGATACTCAAAACAATAAAACGAAGAAGCTAAAAAGAGAGAGAAAAAGAAAAGGAAGCTATGCGCTATGAGATTGGGGTCAGCACATAGAGCTTGCATGCATGAGGATCCACTTCTGTTGTTAATTTCTCTTGAAATGGAGTTGGAAGAGTCCGATGCTGATATTATGATGAAAAAAAAGAGTCAACAGTTAATATATATATATATATATATACTAGTGATAAATGGATCTTTTTGATGCTTCGGGCCAAACAAACGTAATGCAAAGAGATCAGGTGGAGATATTACCTCCCATACATCTCTTGCTTCAACTGGTGCACCAGCTGGATTGATACCGATATCATCCCAATGAGCAGTCATAGAAGATATCCACGGCTTTCTGTTTACAAAGAGTACTACTACTCTGTCCCCAGATAGCGGTCCAGCCCATATCTGATCAAATTTTTCTCATAGTCAGACCATTATCGTTCTTCTGATAAAAAAAGAATTAATGAATCAAGGAGTTACTCTTTATCTTACATCTCTCTCGCCTTCCATTCTAACTTTTCTTGCCTGAACACCCAATGAATCTATAGGAATTCAATACCAATTTAGTAATAGTAATATAATCCATTTTGGATTCAATTATCATTGGTTAATTATTAAAAGAGTAAATATGAACATTAATTACCTTGATTAATAGCAATTACCTCCTTGTTGCTGATAATCTGCATAGTCTCATTGGTCACAGATCTTATATCACATCCTAAAAGGAGTGGTGCCTGCAATGTCAAGCAAATGAACTTAAATTCTTAAGCAAGAAAACAAAATACACACACACACACACACACTTGCCTTAGAGACGGCCCATATGCTAAAATGCACCACGTATTCATTATACTTCATTCCTCCATTTCCCACTTCTAGCATATCAGGGTCTGGACAAAAGAAGTCATTTTAGCAGAAAAAAACTTATTACTTGCATTCCAAATGAATGAATGAATGAGAGTGATGCACTAACCATTCCAACCACCAGGCTTAGCATATTCAGCAAACACTTCGTTCATGTCAGCCGCCTTAAGCATTCTGTTGTCAACACCACCATTCCATTTCAAGATTATTAATTACATATTACATACACTATAGAGAAATCCAATTCAATTTATTCGAAAAAATACTTCTCCCATGAGTCTGAAATATCATCAGTGGTTCTCCAGCTATTCCCAACATCTGCTCCCCACAGAGCTGGACGCATGTCCCCCCTAATTAAATTATCAAAATAGTCAATAACTAGACCCATCATGTAATGTTTTATGCAACATATATAAAAAGGAAGCAGTGAGTAGAGCACCATTCACACAGAGAGAAAAAGATGGGGCGCCCTGTCTTCTTTAGAGCGCTAGACATTGCTTTGTATCTGTAAAGAAGTTATTTTCATTTACTCAAAACTCAAAATACAGGCAAATGCAATTAGGCATCAAAGAAATACTGGTTGCGAGATATTAACCTAACGGTTGGTTTCACATCATTGTTGTAACAATTATCATACTTCAAGTAGTCGATCCCCTGCTTCCAACGGAATTAATTAATTAATCAATGAGCATTAATCATAAAACATCTTCAACTCTTCATGGCAAAAGTAAATGTACCCATGAAGCAAATGTGTTTGCGTCTTGCTCTTCATGCCCAAGTGACCCCGCCACTTTTCCTGTACAGGTTCTAAGCCTTCATGTGTAAACAGATCATTTGTAATTATTCTTTTGCTTTTGTAATTACAAGCACAACACAAAGGAGTTTAAAAATTTACCCTGCATCTGCATATATTCCTAACTTGAGACCTTTGCTATGAACATAATCTGCTAGAGCTTGAATTCCAGAGGGAAATGTGGTCTTGTTGGCCACAAGATTGCCCTAATAAAAAGAAAATCAAGTTTTTCTTTTTTTCACTACGAAATATGATTGGAAAGATTTAAAGAGGTGAAAGAGAAGGAGCAAACCTGGTAGTCTCGTTTTGATTCACCCCAGCAATCATCTAATTGAAAAAAAGAAATATATAAAGAGATTATTGTTTGCATTGCATGACTTGGTGCACATATATTTGTTAATCAGAAAATTCAAGTGAAATGATCACAGTACCTATATTGACGTACACATAGCCAAGCTGAGCCAGCCCGGTTGAGACTAAAGCATCAGCTGTTCAAACCCAAAAAAAAATAAAAAAAGACCGAAAGAGAAGCGTAAGATTATGTGTATGTGCGTGATGCAAATGAAATAGACGTGGTGAGCGATTTGCATATACCTGTTTCTCTGACAACCTTCTCATTTATCTGGCAGTGGAAATGATTCCAACTGTTCCAGCTGTGCCAAACAAATATAAGCCAACAAATTTTCAAGGCAGTGGAAAGAATTCCAGAAGGAAGAGATGTTCACACAGACTTACCCCATTGGAGGAGTGAGAGCAAGGCCATTGTCAAGCAGCATTTTCCTGCTACTGGGTCCATTTCCCAAGTGCCTTGAAGATGCAACTATAACTATGCAAGAAGAGTAAAAGAGAAACGAGCAGAATAAAACACAGCGTCTACCCATCATCTATCTCAGTCTCTGCAATGCGGCTCTCCAATAGAATGGAATATCATATCATATCATATATAATATATGTAGTGTAGATCATAAGGGTTATTTTCTAGTTACTGACACTTATCATTACTAGACCCACGTGTGGTGCACCCAATCCAATATGTTGATTGTGATTGACTAATTCTTGAATATACTGAAAATAAGCCGCAAGAAGTGCCTTGGCATATGTTAGAGCATTAACTACCCTTCATCTTCACTGATTATTTTAATGGACCAAACTTAAGTTAATACTATGTCACTACCACGTTGTATAACGTCCACAAGAATTTGATTGTGTGCAGATTGGTATATTGCACTCACCACTAATCATGCGCCACCACCGCCCACCAGCAGCCTTCCAGCTACCACCACTCATACTGAAATTTCTTTTTTAGCTGAAACCTTCTTTACAAGGTAAATGGGAATATGCCTTTTCCATGGAAATTAAAATAAAGCTTCAAGAATAACATATCAAGATTTCATCTACCTCGAGGCAAAAATAAAAATTTATCGGATCTTTTCTTTGCCTGACTGTTAACATGCTTCTAAATTTTAATAAAGAACCCACAAATCCCACCCCATATCTTGGGGAAAAATAAGTAATAATTAAATAACCTTCATATCTTTAGGTAAAGCGGGATGCTGTCGAGGTATGTCCGGTTCATTGAATCGCCGGTTCTGGTTCACCGAACCAACGGTTTAAATTTTTTAAAATATTGAATTTGAATTGGCCCTTGAACTGTCGGTTCCGGTGCGATTTCGATGAATCGACAGTTCCGTTCACGGTTTCCAGCGATATATTTTTTCCAGGCGAATTATATAATTAACTATATATAATATATTACTATATATTATATTATTATATATTTTTTGTTTTTTAAATCATTTAATTTTAACATCTTCTTTCATACATATTGATAAGAGTTTTAACAAAATATTTTGAATAAGTTTTATTTTAAATAAATTTTTAGAATACTTATACTCATACAGGACATAAAATTAATTTAATTTTAACAAAATAAATCAAATTTAAATTATCACTTATTTTGTTTAAAGGTTATCAAATTAAATTAAAATTATAAGAAAATTTTGAAAAATGCTTTCAAAAGAATCGTAATTTTTAAACTTAGCAAACAATTTAAAGGATAAAAAAAAAAGAGAGTTAAAAATAATATAAGTCTTGACTAATATGTCTCTCCTTTTTTACCCATTTTTACTTTTTAGATGTTTTTAACTTTCAAAGTAAAGTTGTATTAAAAAAAAAAAAATTCTCAAGCTTAAAGTATCCACTCTAGTAGTTATAATAGTATTGAGCTTTTTAAGAAATGCAGTCAAAATAGAAAATTTTTGATTTAAACCGGACCCCAAAAACCGACCCCGGTAAACCACTGTTCCGATTCATCATTTTTAACAAATTTGCTAAACTTCTAACTGGCCCATTGAACCGCCGATCTTCGATTTAAAATTTTTGAAGTGGTTTCCCGGTCCCGATTTCGATCCGGTTCCATTCATCTACAGTACAGTTCAATTTCAATTCGGTTCGAATTCGAACCGCGATACCGGTGGGCATTGCCTAATTGCTGTCTGCTGATTGGAAATTTCAAAAAGAAAAGAAACTCCCGCGCGGGGAAGGGGGAGGGTTGGGGGATTTCCATTCTGCGATCATTAAATAATATTATATAAATAACACGTGCCTGGCAAAACATTTACAAGTTTAACTCATGAAAAATTGATCTGAGGAACCTTCCGCTTTCACCAATGTTTGAGGCCTATTTTAAATAATCAAATAAATTATCACTTTATTTTGTTTAAATGTTATCAATTAAATAAATTATAAGAAAATTTTGAAAAATGCTTCAAAAGAATGTAATTTTAAACTTAGCAAACAATTTAAAAGGATAAAAAAAAAGAGAGTTAAAAATAATATAAGTTTGACTAAATATTTCTCTCTTTTTTTACCATTTTACTTTTTAGATTTTTAACTTTCAAAGTAAAGTGTATTTTAAAAAAAAAAATTCTCAAGTAAAGTATATCATGTAGTATAATATTATTGAGACTTTTAGAAATGCATAAAATAGAAAATTTTTGATTTAAACCGGACCAAAACCGCCGGTTAACCACTGGTTCCGATTCATATTTTAACATTTGCATAAACTTTAACTGGCCCTTGAACCGCCGATTTCGATTTAAAATTTTGAAGTGGTTTCGGTCCGATTTCGATCCGGTTCCGATTCATCTACAGTACAGTTCAATTTCAATTCGGTTCGAATTCGAACCGAACCGGTGGCCATGCCTAATGCTGTCTGCTGATGGAATTTCAAAAGAAAAGAACCTCCCGGCGGGGGAAGGGGGAGGGTTGGGGGATTTCCATTCTTGCGATCATTAAAAAATATTATATAAATAACACGTTGCCTGGCAAAACATTTACAAGTTTACTCAGAAAATTGATTGAGAACCTCCGCTTACAATGTGAGGCCTATTTTAACAGCCAAACCACTCAATACAAACAGCATTCTGAATGGACATCACATTTCAAGAGAACTTGGGGAATTCACTCCCCTTTCTTTAACCACAGGTCCTCCAGGCAGAATATGCACAATAGAGAAACTGATGCTTCCTTTTAAGTTCACCCAGCTAGGATCCTATCAAAGGTCAAAATACCTCCTTCAGATTGAAGATCCAGTATATACAGGGTCCGTGCAATATGGCGTTTGCCAGCAAGCTTTATAACACATGGCGAGTTCATCAGTCTACCTCAATCACATCCGTTTCATAAAGCCTCCCTCAGACTGAATGTTCTAGCTATGTCCCTGGCATTGTCATAATCATTAAGCTCAACCAGCATCTTCTTCAATCGACGTGCCAGTCCATTGGTCTCAGATTCAGTCACGCCTGATATATGCTTCTTCTCCAGTGCTCTTCCTAATGACATTACATAATCCACCAAAGCTCGCAACTTATGGCTGCAATATTATAGTTGAATATAGGTAAGGACCACTTAGTATTACAATGGAGCAAGCAATAAAGAATAAATAACCAGTGAAAGATAGGCCACACTAATACACAGACCCGGACAATAAGATAAACTGGGAAAAATAACACACATGCTAAAGGAAAGTACATGACTATTAATTTGAAAACTATATTCAGCCTAAACGATCAGTGATTTCTGCAAGACCCTTCTTTTCCTTAATGGAACAAGGCAAAGCTGCCCGAGATATAAAATTACAGTTTTATATACTCTACCAGCAAGCCACACAAAACTTGGACCCATATTTCTTAATTCCAGTCTTTGTTTTACAATTTATTTTTCACTGCTCTGACTTCTATCTACCAAAATAAAACTGAACCCAACAATAAAACACAAACTTCCCCTAATTAGTTGCACACTTAGAAATCTTTTAGAGAAAAACCTGTAACTTCAAGATGCAAGCCCAGCGCACTAACCATAGCAGAAAATATTGGCCCTTTTAGTGCTGACCATGAGAACTAATTTTTTAACATCATAATTATCACTAGAACATGATTATTCTGAAAAACCAGTATACAAAAATTAGATACTGCTATTTCACTCAAACTATATTAACTCTACTATTTGATTAAATCATTTATTACACGGTTGATGTAATTCCAAGCCACAGGCACATGAAGTTCAGTTATAAAGCAAAAATCAGAAGGACATGTTTTGTACCTGGGGTCCCTGGTGACACTGGGACCTGCCCACACACCAGATAAAGAAGCAATGATCCTTTCGGTTCTTGTGACTGCATCATGAACATTAGATGCAATGCTTCGAACATGAGGTAGAACCTTCCCGCATAAAAGCTCATCAAGGGCAAGCTTCTCCAGAACTGGCAATGCAAGGATATCTTTCCACAAGCAGATATTTTTCATCAAACGAACTGACATCCCAAAACGATATGCTGCAACTCGTGCAGCACCTGGCACTGCCTTCAGCACAAGCGGGCTCCATGTTGGAACCTATGGCATTGAAATGAATTGAACAATAAGAGCACTAATACTTTTCATATCGAGCATCACTGATTTTTTCCGTCAAAACTTTTTTAATTTTTTATGATAGAAGAGAAAAAAAAAAAAGCATGAAAACATGTATGGCACACACATATGGATGTGTGTGTGTGTGAGAGAGAGAGAGACAAATATAGAGGGATGGAAGAAAGGAGATGATCTAAGTTCAGACCACATACCATGATATGAGCAACAGCATCAGCTAGACGTGTGCGAATAGCAACCAATAGCTCCGCTAATGCCTCACTTGAAGTTGGAACATAAGTTGTTACCAAGCTCGTGGCAGAAACAGCATTTTTAGTTTCTCGTGTGCTGAGCATGTCCCAACAATGGGCAATTTCATGATGCAGAATAGGAATTGCAACCTTTTCTACAAGTTCTGGAATGAGGTTACCATCAGCATCATCAGGACTGAGATCACTTCCATCTTCTGGTAAACCATAATTAAATAGCAAGGAATGCCTGAACAGGAGAAGCAATAGGAAGTATGAAACTAAAAGCCTAAGTAGGTAAGAAGCATAACTGTGTTTGAGATGTCAAATTACAGAAAAATAAAGTACGAAAAAAAAAAATAAATCAAACTACAAAAACATCAAGGGCAAAGTCTGCCCATCAGAAAGAAAAACAAAGAGACAGAGGGAGAAAGGGCAAATGAAAATAGGAGACTTGAAAATGAAATTTATAACATTAAATTGAACAGATTCAAAATTCAAAGTAATACCATTTCATATCAAAAAAGTCAGCATCCTGATGAAGAGGGTCCCATTTTAGAAGTTCTAATCTCACGTATGGCGAGAAGATGGCAGGTGCACTCAGTGACATGTAAGCATCTCGGTAGCTTGTTGAATATTCTTTCTTCCATCTTTCAAATCTTTCTTTCACCACTGAAAGTTGAGAATAATCTTCAGAAGCATCACCAAAAATTTGATCAGCAGTTTGGAGCAACAAATCACGGTTTGACTCGTAAGCAGCACTTTCACTGTCACTCTGATCCATGCTAGATTCTCCCTCTATTTTCTGGTCAGAAACATCAACCTCCATAGAAGACAATCTCTTTACGTCAAACTGAACTTTCCTACGCTGACGGGCCTCAGCCCTCCTCTTCATATCCATACGTTTCTGCTGGTTAATATCTCTACCAAATTCATCTAACTTCACTGGTAGGTTGTTTTGTTCTTTCATGGTCAGTGATGCAGCTTGGGCAGCACTTGAGGCAGCAGTAATAACTGCTGAACTGCTCCCACGTTCACCAAAAACCAACATTGCTGCCTTTACAGCTGCTTCCACCTCCATTAGTTCATCATCATTATCAGCAGTTCTTCTTTCTAAAATAGCAGATGCACGTCGTTCATGAAGCTTTTGCATCTGCTCTTCCAGTTCCTCAATGTAAGGAGCTTTATGCTGCAAAGAAAAAAGATTACCACAAACTAATAAGTCATATGGCTAGAGGCTGCTAAAAAAGAATGTAATAGTACTAAAGAAATTTTGATATTGCCGATGAGAGCCATGTATAAATATGAAAACCCAGATGCAGATGCATAAACATACAACTTCAGAAGATAACCTAGAGTTTTTATTTTTCACTTGAAGTCAAATACATCTCCAAGCTCCAGTGTTTTGTATTCTACACATTTTCATCCACTTTTGTTAAACGCATGAGACACGTGAACTAAGGCCTCCATACTAGGTGTCCAACATGGATGTATAAAGGTTACAAAAGTTTTACTCCTTCATAGAATTATGTTGGTAATACAATTGTCCATTCATAAAAATATATGTACATGCAGGACATAGAATTAGATAAACTCATACCTGCAGGAATTCACATATAACAGAAACAAAGTCACGAAGCTTTTGCATAAAGATGAACTTCTCACCAGCAGCAGATAGAGATTTTTCAAGTGCAGTGATATTCATCAAGGACGCAGATAAGTTCTCATCAGTATTTGTCAGCAATGAAACTGTTCTTCTGTGAGATTCCTGAGCCAAAAATTTTGGGTTATAACTTATATGGACACAAAAGCAAGTTTTTTGTTCTCATAAAAATTCTAAGGACAAAGCAATCTCATGAATTCAAGCATCTAGATAAAATGTGAATAGATGAGTTATAAAAAGCAGACATAAACAAAGAAGATAGTTTGACTCAATGGCCTCGCTCCAAAGCAAATTAAGTCAAGCCAATCAGAGCTCAATAATGTCAGCATGGACCCAAAAAATCTAACTCTAAATGAACCAAATCTGCCGGAAGTCCCGGTCTCCTCTAACTCCGGCTATCTCAATATTGGAATATAAATACCCACATCAAACCACAGGTCCAATAATGTTGATGGGGAATTGCATAACCTAACTCTCCAGATAAACCACATCTGTTCTCTAAACACTACATTCCTCTACTTTGAGCAATCTCAGAGCACAGTTGGGAATTCAAAAACGTATATCCACTATAATAGCACATTCGGCCCTTATGTTCCCGTCAGTGATTCCTTCTTCACTTTAGCTTCTTCTATATCATCTGATGTCTGTGCATGTATGTATGTGTGTGTGTGTGTGTGTGTGTGTATATAGGTCTGATGTGAAGAAGAGAATTACAGTAACTGGGTGAAAGTGAAGTATATAATCTATTATATGCAGCAATACAATGGTAAATGCATTTATAAAGGCCACAAATTGGTCCTTAAAAAGTTTTGCTGCTTAATATCTTCTGTTGTATTTGCAAATTAGTTCAGAAGTAATAAACTTGGTAATATTCACCACAGTTACCACCATAGATGAAATGCATTTTCAGGAATATCAATTCTCTGTTTTTGAGTAAATGTGAGAAAAACTCTGTGATATAAACATACTAGGTCCACGCACTATGATTTCAAATTATAAATGAATAGTATGAGATAACAACAAACCTTAAGCCTCCTGACATTGTCCTGCAAGGCTTTCCTAGCAATCTCAGCCTGTTGTGGTATGGACAAGTTATCCAAACCTTGAGATGCACCAAATGCCCCTCCAATGCTTGGAACTGAACCATACGTCGGCCTTTGCTGCAGCTGTTGGTGCTGCTGATTATGCATTACAGTAGCGGTAGTACTAGTAAAAGCCTTGCTAGTTCCTGAACCATCATCCATCCTCTTTCCTAAACCCTTCCTAAATTGCTCTTCCTCCCAAATCTTGTCCTCTTCATCCTCATCATCAACACCAGCAATACCCTCCTCTATCTTAACACGACTAGTGGGATATCTAACAGCAGCAGCAGCACTGATCATTGCTTTGACATGATCATTACTATCATCCCCATTGTTGAAATCATCAAAAACACCAAGACTGCCGCTGCTCTCTTTCTTTCCAATCAAGGCAATTCGAGTCCTAAACTCAGGTTCCTCATCGCTCAAACCTTCTGCCGCTCCATGATTAGAGCCTCCATCCAAGGAGATATAATCAGAAGCAGCGGCCCTCGACTGCCTCAAGCGTTCCCTTTTAGCCCTGATCTTCTTGATAGTCTCTTCATCAGGAATCAACGAATAATCCTTGGATTTTCCCAACCCGAGTGATGCCAATCGATTTTCTGCGTCATTCCTGTCTTCATGCTGTTGGTCTTCTTCCTCAGAATCTAACTGCTGGGTAGGTTTTAGGGTTTGCGCAGAAGGTTCTTCATGAGTGGGTTTGAGGAGACCCTTGAGAATGATTTTGGGCTCAGAAGGAGGAGCCTTGGAGGCAGAGGAAGAGGGTTTAGCTAGGGTGCGGGTGTTCTTCTGGAGCTCGAGAAGGGCTTCTTTGGTGTAAGTTCCAGCTTGGGGAAGCACATTGGAAGTGGTAGAGGATGGGGTAGGAAGTAGGCGGTCCTTGGAGGCGGTCAGCTTGTGAGAGGAGCTGCCTTTGGTAATCCGCGAAGAAGAAGGTTTGCGAGGAGCCGAAGATTTGGAGGAGATACGGGAAGATGGGGTATCATCGTCTTCATCGTCCGCGAAGCTAAGGAGCTTCTTGGGTTTCGAAGAAGCGGAAGGCTTGCGGGAGACGGCGGGAGCGGAAGCGTGGTTGGTGACAGTGTCATTGTTGTCGTCGTCATCGTCGCCTCGGCGGCGGAAGTTTCTGGATTTGGTGCTGCTCATGGTGAAAGTTACTAAACAAATCCCTCCAGTTCCAAAATTCAATTGACGCTGCTACTGCTGCTGCTTCTTCCCGTTGTGGATTTCAGATTCTGATTTTAATTCTTCATGTTGTGAATTTGCTCTCTTTTATGTAGCCCAAATTTTAAAAGCCCAACTCCAAAACCTTAAGATGGGCCCAAGTTCAACAGTGCTCCGCTATTTCTTTCAAGATTGACGGGCTGTGGCCGAAGAATTTAAGATTTGATTTGATGTTCTATTTGGGCTTGGAGTATATAGTTCAATTTGCCAACTCAGCAACCATGACTAAAAATTAACTTATCATACAATTTAACCTTTTAAATTTACATCAAAGAGCACAATAAAACCAATTTTTGAAAAAAATATTTTGATTTCAATAAATATAATTAAATAAAGTAAATACACTTGGTACGAGACTTTTAAGTTTTTAATAACAAGTTGTAATTTGAATGAGAATTCATTGAGTATTAAAAAAAGCATCATTGTTGCCCCTGGCCCCACCCAGTATTGGCCTTTCGTTTGCCAAAAATATAAAATTGTTGGTACTTGGGAGGGTGAGATTCTTGAAAGCAAGGGAGGTTGGTCGAGTAGGAAGGGGATAGAAAATGCGGTGGGCGCTATTGGCGTTGAGGAGTTGGTGCACGCCCAGACTTTTATCTACTTTTTGTATTTCTAGCTTCACACTTTTGTGTTGCGACTAGTGAAATCAAATCGGTGGGTCGCGGCCGCACACGGAAAAGACATCCCATTTCGATATCAATTATTCAAAGGGTTAATTATGTTTGTACTATGTGAAATTTTAAAATTTTATTTATTTTAATTTTTAAATAAATGTTTATAATTAATGTCTAAATTAATGGTTTTTATATATAATTGAATGTATTTAATTATAATTTCTCACTGGAAAACTAAAATAAATTATTTTATCAATGTGTGTGGAATGGAATCACGTGGTTGATGATAGCATAGCATACACCACGCCTTTATTTTTAGACTAGTTATGTAAGACTCGAGAATAATATTCTCCTGGATGCTCCTGATACTCTACTAATCGTTATATTACTAACAACTCCACCTTTGTCTAATAAATCTATGTGCTGCTGCTGCTAGACATATCAGGACCGTCCATCTGGTATAGAGTTGTCCGGTCTTTAATTAGGTTCTCGATGCCATACCAGTACTCGCTGACCTTTAAAAAACATAGAATAAGAAGTGGAAAAAGAAAAGAAAAGAGAAATCTGCAAACCAATTGCTTCGAAGAAAGAGCAAAGCAACCTACCATTACCAGGTGCTTTTCGTCTTCTTTGATCTGTAGTATAACTGCAGCTCTTATCTTAAATTTTCTGTTGCTAACTGCATCAGGCTTCGTTTTTGTCTTTTCAATTCCTCTCCGCATTCGATAATCTTTCTCTTCTTCGAGATCTATAGGCAGCGAACTTTAAGTTAACGCTTTCCCCAATTTTTGTCCTGTCTAATTTCATTTCTTCGTAGTTCCTTTTGATCTCATATTGTATTGTTAAAATGAACCACAAAATCAATCAAATACGTCTATTAGATAATTAGCTAATTTTTTTAAAAATTGTAATTTTTATGGATTTAAAATGCTGAACTGAGAAATACATGTATTGATATGATGACTTGTGATCGTAGATAGAAGCATATTTGAAGCTCAAGTGATTTGGAAGAGCAGCGAATGGCCAACATTGACATCGAGGGACTCCTGAAGGAGCTGCCTGAAGATGGGCGTGTTCCAAAGACGAAGATCGTTTGCACGCTTGGACCTGCATCCCGATCCGTCCCTATGCTCGAGAAGCTTTTGAGGGCTGGGATGAACGTCGCTCGCTTCAATTTCTCCCATGGTACTCACGAGTACCACCAGGAGACCTTGAACAATCTCAGGATTGCCATGCAGAACACTCAGATACTCTGTGCTGTCATGCTCGACACCAAGGTCTCTCTTATGCTTTTACGCTATACTTCTTGTCCTTCCTCTCACTACTGTTTGTGCTACTTTCTCGATTTGATAACTTTTCTTCTTATTCATAATCGTTATTTTATATTTAATATTTAAACTGTGGGAAGAAAGCAATTTGTTTCTTTTGTAACTTTAGCAGTGCGGGGGGTAATTTGGTTTGTAATGACAGCTAGAACGGTCTCTATAGTCATTTGGTTTTTCTAAGCTCTAATGCTTACGTTTTTCTCTGTATTTTGTGCGTTCTTAAAATGATTCGGTCACCTTTGGGGTATATTGTTTTATTGAATAGTGTTACCAAAGGATGCAAGAGTTTACTTTATCGAGAAGTTGAGTGTTGGTTGTTGTCCTACATTGGTTGGGGATAAGGATTTTTTGCTATGTATAAGACTTAAGCAAACATCCTCCCCTTGAGCTAGCTTTTGGGATAAGTTAGGCTTGGAATCATTTCTTCGCATGGTATGAGAGTCTGCGTGCTTCAATGTTAGGTCGCCTGTGATGTGTTTGTCTGCAAACTTCACGGCCAAACATTCATGCTTGGGCGTGAGAAGATGTATCTCCTCCTACTGAGCTAGCTTTTGGGGCATGTTAGGCCCGGTCCATATTCACATTAGTGATTTGACTATTTTCGGCTAGCAAAATTGGATGTGAAGTGTTTATGAACTTGTTTTCTTAAAGTTGTTTATGGTGAGAGACTGAGTTGTGGTGAAAAAATTTGTTGGTGATGAGGAGCACCTCAACAATTTTTTCAAGAATTGTCTGCTTTGTGGATTGTGGTTAACTGCTGTTCCTGTATCAGCTTTTTATTTTGGGGCTTGTGGTTTCCTTTATACAGAAGTGCAGATGTGCATTCCTACAAACCAAAAGATATGACATTATCCTTGGATACGGAGCTCTTTGATTAGTATTGGGGAATAAAGGTCCTTTTCATGGCCAAACGATATTTAAGTGCAGCAATATACTTCTAATGTAAATGGATGGCCATTTAGGGGACGAGTGCGTTCTTTATGTGAGTATCTGCTCTAAGGATTTTCCATTATTTAGAAATTGTTCTCAAGGAACTGGTTTGATACATCTTGAAGGGGTGTCATTGGGGATAGTCATATATTTATTGCTTCTGATAATATTCAAGCATCCATGTTAATGTCAAGTCTTGCCCATGTCATGGGATCAAACCCTAACAATGACAATCCACCTTTCTTTTTCTTTTCCTCTACATGCTTAAGGCATCCATATTGGTATTGCAGATATTCCTGGCATGCAGCTATATCTGCCAAGGAAATGGGAAACTGGCCTTTTACTTTGCAATTGATTGTGAAGTTGGCATTTTGTGTTTGATTTTCTTGGTTTTTTCATTTTTTTTCTTCAAGCTCATACAGTTTTGTTTTCTGTGTTGGAACTTGGGATGATCTTTTGTAGTGAAGCTTCACAAATTCACTGACTATCTACATGATGTTACAATTACTAACATCTACAAGATCTTGAATTACTTGTGCTGGTACGGACTGCTAGCAGTCCTTTTGCAGTCCTTTTCTTCTCCTTTTATGAAGGATGAGATTGAAGAGTTCAATTGCTATAAAATGAAATAGGGTATAGTATCTTCAATCCAACCCTATCTTGTTACTCTTGGTTCTGTCCTGTTCGAGTGATCCACTATATGTTTCCACTTCTCGTGCAAACATTACAGCCAAAAAGCTTTTGCTGTACTGACAAACTCATGCTGATATAGGGTTATCATTGTAACAGTTAATATTGACTTTCTTCTTTTCATCTTCTTCTTTTTTTTTTTTTTTTTTTTTGGTAGGAATCCACCTTTCTTTTTCTTTTTCCTCTACATGATTACAGGGCATCCATATTGGGTATTAGCAGATTCCTGCATCGGCAGCCTATATCGCCCCTGAAATGCAAACTGGCCTTTACTTTGCAATGACTTGTGAACGTTGGCATTTTGTGTTTGATTTTCTTGCGTTTTTTCATTTTTTTCCTTCAAGCTCAGTACAGTTTTTGTATATTCTGAGTCGTGGAGAGAACTTGCGATATCTTTTGTAGTGTGAAGGCTTCACAATTCACTGACTATCCTACATAATGCTTAACAAAATACTAAACACCTACAAGATCACTTGAAATTCCTTGTGCTCGGTACAGGACTGCCTAGCAAGTACCCTTTTGCCATCCTTTCTTCCTCTCCTTTATGCCAAGGCGGAGTATTGAAGAGTTCAACTTGCCTTACAAAATGATCATAGGCCTCTAGTCACTCTCCTCCAACCCAAACCTACTCTTGTTACTCTTGTGTGTCTGTCCTGTTCGAGTGATCCCACCTATAATGTTTTCCACCTCTCTCCGCGTGTCCAAAAACATTACAGCCCAAAAAAGCTTTTGCCTGTAGCTGTGGCACAACTCATTGTCCTGATTATAGGGTTATCACTTTGTAATACAGTTTATTTATTCTGAACTTTCTTCTCTTGCCTTCTTTCTTCTTTTTTTTTTTTTCTTCTTTTGATAGGACCTGAGCACACGGAACTGTTTCCTGAAGGTGGACAAAACACTATTCACAACTGATAGGAGGTCAGGCATTTTTTTTTTTTTTTTTCTTTTGGTAGGGACCTGAGATACGGACTGGTTTCCTGAAGGATGGAAAACCTATTCAACTGAAGGAAGGTCAGGAAATCACTGTCACGACTGATTATAGCATCAAGGGTGATGCAGAGATGATCTCCATGAGCTACAAAAAACTGCCAGTGGATGTGAAACCTGGAAATACCATCTTGTGTGCAGATGGTACCATCTCTCTGACTGTGTTATCTTGTGATCCAGATGCTGGAAGTGTGAGATGTCGGTGTGAGAACACAGCAACACTAGGTGAGAGGAAAAATGTCAATCTTCCTGGCGTTGTGGTGGATCTTCCCACTCTAACAGAGAAGGATAAGGAAGACATCTTGGATTGGGGTGTTCCCAACAAGATTGATATGATTGCTCTTTCATTTGTTCGCAAGGGGTCGGATCTTGTTCACGTGCGTAAGGTCCTTGGTTCACATGCTAAACATATACAATTAATGTCAAAGGTATGGTGATCCCTTTTTGTACTTGATTTCTGGTTGTTATCAGTTCATTCATTAGGCAATCTGCATAATCCGTGACTTTACGGACTTTTTGGGATTTTGTGCTTTCCCTATATGTGTTTATGTGGAAGTTAATTTTATCTTGGAAATTAATTGAGTTAGAGATGTTGATAGTTGTTATTTGTTTCTCCAACAGTTATCTGATCTTGTTTGTTTGGTTAATAATTAATAATTTCATTTCTGTGGTTTTCCTCAGGTTGAGAACCAGGAAGGAGTTGTTAACTTTGACGAGATATTGCGGGAGACTGACTCATTCATGGTTGCCCGTGGTGATCTTGGAATGGAAATTCCTGTTGAGAAAATTTTCCTGGCACAAAAAATGATGATATACAAGTGCAATCTTGTGGGCAAGCCTGTGGTCACTGCTACTCAAATGCTTGAATCCATGATCAAGTCTCCTCGACCAACCCGTGCTGAAGCAACTGATGTTGCTAATGCTGTTCTTGATGGCACTGATTGTGTTATGCTCAGTGGTGAAAGCGCAGCTGGGGCCTACCCAGAGCTTGCTGTAAAGATTATGCGCCGAATTTGTATTGAAGCAGAATCATCCCTTGACTATGGAGCTATCTTCAAGGAGATGATAAGATCAACTCCACTTCCTATGAGCCCACTGGAGAGTCTGGCATCCTCTGCTGTACGAACTGCTAACAAGGCAAAAGCAAAGCTCATTGTTGTTTTGACACGTGGTGGGACGACTGCTAAGTTGGTTGCCAAGTATAGACCAGCTGTTCCAATTCTGTCTGTGGTTGTCCCAGTCTTGACAACCGATTCATTTGATTGGACCTGCAGTGATGAGACCCCAGCAAGGCATAGTCTGATATATAGGGGGTTGATTCCTCTTCTGGCAGAAGGATCTGCTAAGGCTACTGATGCTGAGTCCACTGAGGTTATTTTGGAAGCTGCTTTAAAGTCAGCAACGGAGAGGGAGTTGTGCAAGCCTGGTGATGCTGTTGTTGCCCTTCATCGTATTGGAGCTGCCTCTGTTATTAAGATATGCATTGTGAAATGATATGGAACATGCAGAATGCCTTAGATATGGCTGGGAGGAGTGGTTACAGAAAATGGACTTCTATTTTATTTCTTTGAGATCTGTATTTCAGACGTTGGAGGATTTTAATTATTTACTGTCAGTCCATGATATATATATTACATGGTAATGGTGTGCTTGAATAATGTGATTTTACTTGGATAATTGTGCAGCTCAGTTGTTTGATTTGATGGGCTGTGCAAAATCCAACAGCCAGGGGCCAGGGCATCTTTTAATAGGTATCTGGTTGTATTGCTGACCCTATATCATTTTCTGATTTTTTGTGCAAATTCAGGGAATGTACTTGTAAAAGATATATTGTTGCTGAAGGTGGATGTCGATGTTGGCATGTTCTTCTCCATCGCAACCTCTCAAATTTCATTCTGTGATTGGTAGGAAGTATAAAAGAGGGACTCGTAAAAGGACAGGAAAAAAATGACGCGGTTGGACCAGAAAAGAGAATTGCCAAAGTTTCACGGATGACAACATTAGTTGTGTTTTTTCTTCTGTTTTCCTTTTGTGCCTGAATAGAACCATTGAGAATTTCTTTTTCTTGTTCAGGTTTCTTGTCTCTAATAGGTAGAGGTTGTTTCTTAGTTTTCTAGTGTGTTTTATTTTAATTAAATACCAGTGAGTAGCCAATTTTGACCCGAAACTCCTACAAAAAGAATAAATATAGAAGAAAATTATTTTTAATTTTGAAAAGAATACAAATATGGAAACATAAAATTTTAATTTGATTTATAATTATTCTTTTCCCATTTTCTTCCTAATTCAAAAACTAAATATATTGAATCCAACATCTCATATTCTTTTGTAAAATCCACATCAAAATGAGAGTTAAGCAAATCAAATGCTTTTCTTTCTTGCCTGCAAAATGGTGGTGGGTCAAATTTGACAACTTGTCCTCTTCAGCAGGTAAGTATTTCTTGAACTTTCCCTCTTTACAGTTTAATGGTGGTGATTGTGACAAAATGGTGATTGTGCTCGTCAGCAGACAAAATGGTGGTGATTGTGACAAATCTATGATGATTTTAATTACATATATTAGTTTCCTTATTAGCTTTCTAACGCTTATCAACGAGAGAAATATTTCCAAAATCATAAGATTTCGTTGCTCTGATTCTTTCTGAGGAGAAGAACTTTGGTCGATTTCGCTAGTCGTATCAGCTGGAATTTACTCTAATGGTAATATACTCATTTAAAATGTCGGTGGAATTATTATATTAGGCAAGTTTTTATATAATAATTAATAATTAAAAAACAAATAGATAGGATATCCCCACCCGCGCATCATTGGGGATAAGATAAAAAGAAATTAAATTAGGAAGTAAGTCGTAAACAACAACTTTATCAATCCAAATGAGTCTATAAATACTCATTCAAGTGTACAGAGACGAGCACAACGCCTCTTCACTCTGCTCTACTCTACTCTTTTTGCTAAGATGGTGAGACGTTCGCTTTTGGGAGAGTGTCTGTTCCTGATAATGTTATCATGGTCCTCAATGGCAAAAATGGTTATGCTGGAGGGATCCCCATCAACGAAAATAACTGCCGACTACAGTTCCTACAGACGCAACCTCCTTGCCAATGGTCTCGCCATCACTCCTCCCATGGGGTATTTCTGATTACTTTCTTTTCTTTCTCTCATGTAGTCTAAAATAAATCCGTTTCTTTCTTGTTAATCTCACCACCTTATGCCTCGCATCACCTCTGTTAGATCAGAATTGAAGCATTGAGATTTTTTTTTTCTTCCAATTTATTTTGTCCCTGTGATGTTCATTCATTCTACAAAATATACTCTCCGACTCCAGGAGTTTCTAGTGTAGTTATCTTCTCCTCCTCCTCCTCCTTCTTCTTCTTCTTTTAATTAATAATTATTATAATTGGGGAACCTAAACTGAGCTGTTAAGTTGCAAATGGTATCTAGAAGTACATTGCTTAAATACCAATACGAATTATTAAATACAGTAAATGGGGTTTTTTGGTGGCAAAAACATAGATGTAGGTTCTCATCTGCTCGAATGAATTTTTCAAGAAAACTAATTAATTTAAAATATTTAGTTCGACCTTCTGTTCTTATCCTGATTCTTTAGTTGAATGTTGATAATCCTATGTGGAATCTGCTTTTTCTTTCTCATTCCTTATGCTTTTCTTTTTACTCTTAACTAATGCAGCTGGAATAGTTGGAATCACTTCAGTTGCAAAATCGATGAGAATGTCATCAAAGAAACCGGTAAAGTTGAAAACCCAGATTCTCCCATTTTTTTTTCTTCTCTTACAGGCTTAACCATCAATTCATACTTATTAACGGATTGTAATTAAATTTCACCTGTCATGTCAGGAAGCATATATACTAGTATTTAATAAGGATCATGTAATCAAGTTCCTATATATGGCAGGACTTTTAGTAAATCCATCATTTTCCTTGAGCTTGCAGTCTGCATTCCATTTCTATTTTCTATTTTGAAAACGCAACATCTCACTGCTATTATTTTGTTTGTGTCACAGCTGATGCCCTGGTTTCAACAGGTCTTCATAAACTTGGGTATAAATATGTTAATATAGGTAACGTTCCAATTGCTTTCTCTTTTTCTCTTTACATTTTCATAGATGTGTCAATAATACAAGCAGCCAACTTGACAATTTCGTGCACTTACAGATGATTGCTGGGCAGAAATTGCTCGTGATGAAAAGGTTTGAAATTTTCTTATTGTTCCTTCCAATTCCACTACAAAGAGGATTGTTTCTTGTACAATTTTTCCCAAATGCTCCAACTTGTTATTTGTTATGAAGGGATGAAAGAAACAAGTGGGATTAATCCCTAATTCATTTCAGGGAAACCTAGTGCCTAAGAACTCAACATTTCCATCTGGCATGAAAGCTCTGGCAGACTATGTTCACGGGAAAGGTCTTAAGTTAGGAATTTACTCGGATGCAGGGTATTGTGGCTCTACTATATACCTAACTGAAACAAGGAGAATATGATTTTCTTAAAATTTTCAATAATTATTCTGTTTATATGACTAAGTAAATAGGTTGATTCACATTATATTGCAGGTATTTTACTTGCAGCAAAACTATGCCAGGTTCACTTGGCCGTGAGGAACAAGATGCTATGACTTTCGCTTCGTGGGTAAGAATTTTAGCCGCCTCTACTAATATGGAAGGTCCAGCAATAGATTGTAGCTACAATATTAAAATTATTAACCAAGTGAAAATCCCATATCCCAGTATTCTGTACTAGTAATGCATTATGTTTGCAGGGTATTGATTATTTGAAGTATGATAATTGTAATAACGATGGTACAAAGCCAACTGTTAGGTAATTTATCCTGCCAAAATCATTATTGTTCTGTTCTCTATATTCTCTTAGTTAAGATTCTAGTTTCCAAATATCAATACTAAAAAATTCTATAATTTTCTTGTTTCTGCAGATACCCGATAATGACTCGTGCTTTGATGAAGACAGGACGCCCTATATTCTTCTCACTTTGTGAATGGTAAATAACAACTATTTTTTTTATAGCTCCGTATCATCTTTTTTTGCAATAAAATTGGATAAGGTATTTCGCTTGTCTTTGTTAGGGGAGACATGCATCCTGCTCTTTGGGGTGCTAAGGTAGGAAATAGCTGGAGAACAGCAAATGATATTTCTGATAATTGGGAAAGGTATTATTGGACTTTCAGGAAGGTTATGGTTAATAACAAAAAACTCCAGGTAAAAAAAATTCTTTATTGACCACTATTCTTTTCTTTTTGGCAGTATGGTCTCTAGAGCAGATATGAATGAGGTTTATGCTGACCTTGCAAGGCCTGGTGGTTGGAATGGTTTGTTATTGAGTTCTTTATAATAGCAAAATTCAGCAATTTACAATTTTAGATTTTGATAAAATTGGATTCATCTCTTAGAGTCTCATTATGGCTTGAATAGATCCTGACATGCTTGAGGTGGGTAATGGAGGAATGACGAAAGATGAATACATAGTCCATTTTAGTATTTGGGCCATGTCCAAGGTATTGTTAGATGACAGCGTCTTCTTGATTCCCACCACTTCATATCAAATCAAAAGCAAAATTTGATTCCAATGGAAACTTGTGCAGGCTCCTCTTCTTCTTGGTTGCGATGTAAGGAATATGACAAAAGAGGTAATGGAAATCATTTCCAATAAGGAGGTTATTGCTATTAACCAAGGTAACATGTAGCATTTTGCTGAAGAGTGATCTCATCTGTCTTTTTTGTGTGTCTAAATTCTGACTTCTGCCTGACCATTTAATATAGATCGACTTGGTGTTCAAGCTAAGAAGGTTAGGATGGAAGGTGACTTTGAGGTAAATTTAATAAAGAATTATCTCAAATAAGTGATCATGTTTTGCTTACCCTGTATATTTATCAGAAATCATTTATTGCTTCTGGCAACAGATTTGGGCTGGACCTCTCACAGGCTACAGAATAGTTGTTCTACTGCTCAACCGAGGCCCTTGGCGCGGTTCAATCACCGCCAACTGGGATGATGTTGGGATTCCCCTTGAAAGTTCAGTCCAAGCAAGAGATGTTTGGGAGGTATTATTTAGCTGTTTTTCTGTTTGCACCGAGTGTTGAGCATCCATCCAACATTGACACTAATTTGGTATTTGGGCTTTGTGTTATCTGATGCAGCACAAGACATTGAAGACACGATTCGTGGGGAACCTGACAGCGACCGTGGATTCCCATGCGTGCAAGATGTACATCTTGAAGCCTATCTCATAGAGTTTAGCATTCGAACATCGGTGTCTGTGCGTGTATAATGTTAGCAATGGAAAAATTTGAACTATAGCATGGATGGAAGAAGCCAAATTCAAATAACAATCATTCAATTAAATCAGTAATTTTTAGCATGCTATTGTAAGAAGTGGCGTTATCCTTAGATTTGACTTATTGTAATATAGCTGAATAATTGCTCATCGGCATTAAATCTTATAAAACTCGAAATATTGCAAAATGTGACTCTAAGAATCCGCGAGGACTTTGGATACAAATATTATTCCATCCCGAAATTAATTTGATAAATTTTTCTAATCTGCTCATTTAATTGAATGAATTAGCGCTTGTATTCAAATAGTATTTGCAAGATTACCAGATGAATGTTGACTCTCTAACCACGTGGTGTATTGGATGGATTCTGTACAACCCAATAAGCCAATTCTGATACCCTAGGCCAACGCCAAGGCCGTTTAGAGTGGCCGCACGCATGTGTTATTTTCTGTTGGATAAGTGAATTGGCATAGGAAGAGTCGGAGAGAGGAGCGCGGGGTAGAAGTGAGTAAGAGAACACAAAATTAGAAAATGTCGATAAGGTTGGGAATGGAGTTGCGGTTTGGATGGATTTCCAGCAGCTGCGCAAATGCACCGAGTCACTCCCAAAGAAAGTTGATACCTGGCCGTCTGCTACTCAGCGCTACTTCTTTTTCTTCTTCTGGCGATGATGATGCTCAGAAAAAGAATAGTGCGGTTATCTCAGGGACAACGGCAAGAGGACGGAGATTAGCAAGGATTCGGGAGGAGAAGAGGAAACGCGAACTCGATCGTCTTCATAACTATCCTTCCTGGGCCAAGTCAAACTCTGTCCTCTCCACTTTGTTTTTGTTTTATTGCCGCAATGAGTACTAATATTTGATTTGTTGCAGAGTTCTTGAAGATGCTTGCAAAAACGACGAAGAGCTTCGAGCTGTTCTTGGAGATAGCATTGGCAACCCCGAACTCATGAGGAAAAGAGTATTTACACATAACATACTTAATCACAGACAAATCAATTATTACAAGGATGCCCCTAATCCTTAATTGGTTATCACACAGGTTGAAGATAGAGTAAGGAAGAAAGGTCGCGACTTCTACAAGTCAAAAACGGGTTCAGTCCTTGCCTTCAAAGTCAGCTTTAGAGAGTATGTATCCCTAATTCAGTTGTGTGCATTTGTTCACCTCTCTATCTCATGTCATATTAGATTTAGAAAAAAAACGTTTATGTTTCATTTTAAGTTCCCTTTAGTTATGTTTCCATTTTACTGTTGCCTCCTCATAGTTTATATTTGTGTGTCTTTCACTTTATATGAGATAATGGAATTACAGCAAGGAGTTTATTTTTCTTTTCCTATATTGCACTGAAAAATGTTGTCTATTCCTTTTTCTTCCGCAGTAATAAAAGCAAGCTAACCAATGGGAGCCTTAGTAATCATCTAACTCGGATTGTGTCATTCAATTCTTTTTTTTTTTCAAAATTTTCTTGTGCCTGACAGCTTCAATCCTGTGGATTCCTTCATATGGTTTGAATTGTATGGATCTCCATCTGATAGAGATGTTGATCTCATCGGCAGTGTAAGTAAATATCCTAATGTCCCTTCTTGATATTTCCAGTGGTTCTAAATTCTTATTAGATTTATTGTAAGCATCTTGGAGATGGAAATTACTGGAAAGGGTATGCTTTATTGCTTCAGAATCTATAGTTCTTGACCATTGGAGATCTATGCAGACTATTCAGTCATGGTATGTTATGGGGCGCTTGGGTGCCTTCAATTCTTCAAATTTGCAGGTTTGGCTATAGTCTCCTCCTAAGACTGCTCAAGTTTTCTATGCATGCATATGTTTTTTGATTGAATGTTTTATGTATTACTGGCTTGTGAATGCTCAACAAGTTATATAGTTTATTTAATCAACTCTAAAAAACAAAAGGCCTTTTCCATTCAGACAAAATAAGCTTATTTCTAATTGTTTGAAGAATAAGTTGGATGTCCAATAAGCTGAAATAAACAGCTCCTACATCTGCAAGAGTAACTTGTTTCGAGATGGAAGCTTTTGCTTTCTAATTCCAGTTTCCTGTGCCGTTACAAGTTTACAAATATTTTGCATGTTTCTTACATCTGGGTAAAGTTTGTATTACAGATGGATTTTAACAAAATATATGAATTCTAGTTAAATTGAAGGTTATCATAGCGAATTGCCATATTTGAAAAAGAATGCACGGTGGTATATGAAAAATCAATGATCCTAGAAAAGCACAAATTATTGAAAAACAAAAGTAATCACAAATAACTTGTAATTACCATGTATCAATGAACCTAATCTAACGCAGTAATAGAGGAACTAGTGGTTTAGCTCTATAGAAATGCAAAAGAAGCTTCCTTTGCAGAATGTATTGTGCAAAAAAAAAAAAAAAAAAAAAAAAAAAATCCTAGAAAGCACAAATTATGAAAAACAAAAGTAATCAAAATAACTTGTAATTACATGTATCAATGAACCTAATTAAAACGCATAATAGACGGCCTAGTGGTTTAGCTCTATAGAAATGCAAACGAAGCTTTCTTTGCAGAAGTATTGTGCAAAAAAAAAAAAAAAAAAAAAAAAAAAAGGAAGAATCGGACCTAAAAACAAAAAAGGATGAATATAGTGAATATTTGGTAGGCAAGGACTAAAAAAAAAAAAAAAAAAAAAAAAAAAAGGAAAGAATGGAATAAAAACAAAAGGAAATGAATATAGTGAATATTTGTAGCAAGGACTCATTGTCACCCAGTTTTGGTGATTTTATCTCCTATTGATCCTTTGTCTGTTGCACAATAAGGACGCATGTTATCAGCCTTGCTTAAGTTTAAATTTTACGTCCAATTCCATTGAAAGCTATAATTAATAAAAGGGATAGAGTGGCCTCTAGCTGTTGGTTTCCTAAGTTCCAGCAGCTCTCTTATTCACCAAAATGTAGAAATGGACCAAGGCAGATCATTGAGAAACATCTTTCCTTCCACCAACTGGCAAGAGTAATGAGACACCCCCATATCTCTAGCAAAGAATGTACAACATTGAGCTACAGAAGGAAAAAAAAAAATTCTAAGTGGTTTTAACGAATTCTGTGGCATTCTAATCCATAATGATTGAATTGCATGCATATTTTGGTGATGTTTAATAGGATGAAAGGAGATATTCTGATAACAACATTTAAAAAAGTTACAATTTAATTGTACCATAAAATATTTGACAGATGCTGTCGAATAAAATTCTCTCTATAATAGGTTTTATCATGCAAATGAAACTGAAAGGTGTTAATTTCACTTGTGGCAGCTGGCAAATCAATCAATGGAGTACAATCCCCTCTATGATGCAGATAAGGGCTTTAAAGTGATGCCATCATCTTTCCATGATATCAGTGATGTTGAGTTTCAAGATAGCTGGGGCCGTTTTTGGTGAGTGCCTAGACTTTACTATATAAGGAATGGAGTGGCGCAAGAATTCTTGTGGCGTGTTCTCATATAGAAGATCTCTGAACTATCAATTATATGCATGTGTAACAGGGTAGATCTTGGGACATCTGATTTTTTTGCTATAGATGTGCTTATCAACTGCTTAACTGTATTGAGTTCGGAGTAAGTCTGATCCAAGGGTTGCTTTTCACTGAATTCCCTCATTCGCTTGTTTTCCAAGCTGGTTCTGTAATTTTCTTAATTTCTCGATGGCAGATATTTAGGCATTCAGCAGGTAGTTTTTGGAGGCCGCCGAATAGGTGATTGGGAGGAGGGAATGACCAACCCTAATGATGGGTACAAGTACTTCAAGATCTAATTAAATTTGGAGCTGTTGATAGTAAGTTTTAATCTGTATTATTTACAAGTCTTTTTTTTCTTTTGCCAGTTGGATGAGATGTTTTTTTGAATGTTTTTGTGATGAATATTTTCATCTTTTACATGATATTAGTAAGATGTTTAATTTCTACATCTAGTTTTGATGAGGAAAATCTAAGTTCATAAATTGTTGAACCAATGAAAACTTATAAGCAGCATTTTGATTTGTGTGATTGAACATTGAATATTCTCGGTCATATTATATGTCAATTAGTAGTATGAGACCTGTATTAAGATAATTGTGAAAGTCGTATTCAAAAGACAAGCATTGGGCCTAGAGTGCTTCCCCTTGCCCAGGAAAAGAAAGCTTAAGCAGCTAGAGAAACGGGCACGTTCATGCATACATGTTCTTTAAGGTTCACAGCATAGTATTTAGTATGATGAATCAATTTGTAACACCTGAAGTGTCAATACCAGCGTTTCATTGGAATTTTATGGTTTACTTTTCACCAAGCGTTCTATGATTGGTCTAAAACGAAGTTTTGGTACATCAAAAAATTCTCAAAACACATTGGACAAGAAAACGCTTTGTTATGGATTTGTCAAATTGAGATTCCTATCGTCCGCTGATTTAGTGAAGTCAAGACTCGTATACAAGGTCTTTAGATCTCTTTAAAGGACATAACGATCTCTCAATTGACTGCATACTTGGAAGGCAATATGCAATATCAATCTACTCGTAGGCTTAAAGGCCCTTCTTTTCCCTCACTTCTTCTTTGTCTTGTAGATTCCTACAATATTAGCTCCCAAAAGGATCCTTAAATTTTTGGTAACTATCAATTAGAGTCAAAGTTATTCTTTCATGGGGTGTATAACGGTAGGTTCAATTTGAAATCAAACCGAACTGGTTCAGTTCCTACAAATTTTTTTTGGGCCAATTCAATTTTAAGCCAACTGATTCAGATTCATGAAACCGAGACCAACCAAAGAAAATTTCAGTTTTCAACCATTTAAACTGGTAACCGATGCTCTTTCTGAGAAAACTGACCAAAGCGAACCGGTTTGGCTGGTACAAACTGAAGTATGCACCTTAGGAAAACATAAAATCACTCAAATGCCCCTGCTCTATGCTCTTTGAAAAACTCCCAACTGCTGTACAAATGAATAGTTACTTGCCAAAACGATTAATTTAATTCCCACATGAAATTTCCTTTGTCTCTGCATCAAAGACCCTAGAGGCTTGTGGTGCCAAGGCCTATGAAAGGGGCACCTACAGAGCACGGCGTTGGAAATGCACTAGTGATTAATTTCCTTGAGAGAAGCTGCAAAATTAAACGACCACAACCACTATATCTTTTATCTGCTTGAAAGAAGTTTGGATTGTTCAATTACAACATGCAACCCTTAAAGAATTGGAATGACATTGCAAATAATGCAGTCTTGGTTCGGAAGTCACAAACAAACATTTGTTCATAAAGGGAAACAACGGATATGATTGCATCTCTGGATAATGAGCATTCAATACGCAAAAAGCAGAATTCATTCAAGATCCAAAAATTTTTGAAAATTCCTTGAAAACTCAGTGAATTCCTACCACTTGAATATGCACCTGAACTGTCACAAGGACAAACTAGATTCAAACGACTCTCCAAAAAAAGAATACAAAAAACCAGTTTAACATTAAATGATTACCAAAATCCAGCATGCCCAACAAATGAAACTGCTGCTGCGATCTGAAATGCTGAAAATCATTGCTCAAGAAATACTATGATAAGGTGGAGTAATTCGTGCTCCACACTTGCCCCATTCCTTATTCTTTATTATTCTGTGAGTTAACTACTTTATCCCATATTTAATTTCTTTCAAGAACCATCAACCAGCTCTGTGGAGACATGGAAAGTCTAAGTAGCTTCATTTGCCCTCACCAGAATCGGCTATCAAGCATGGAATAACATCGAGTTCTTGGATTTTCCATTATCAAATGCCAAAACATCAAACACTGTCAATCGCCTTATTTTTCTTCACAATATATACACGTCTTTTATTAAACATTTCCCTGTCTATAAAATATAAATGTATAACTTCAAACAGCCATATTGATCTCAATGTTAACTTTCAAAATCCAGATACATAAATAGCATTTTCTCACATATGAACTCTTTCGTACCTGGAGTTCAAGTTTGTGATATTGTGCATAGGTCTAGATGCAACTTGAATTCAGGTGGACAAGATCTTTTACAACCACTAAATTTATTACTTGTGGGTAATGATTTCATTTGCATCTGGGTATTGAAGAAAATGAGAGATCTCAAAAGAGGCAAGGACTAGAAATAGAGTAAAGAGAGGACTTATCTGTACAAGGAATTTTATGGGTCATGTAGTGACGGTGATTACAGTATTAATGGTGGTAAGGATGTAGGGAGTGGATCCAACCTTTATTTTTATGGCTGTTGCAGGTTGTGAAGATATAGAGGAGGGATGTAATGTGGACTTCCATGGCAAAGAACTCCATCACGCTGTGTACTTGATATATTACAATAACTCAAGGGTAAAGTAGTTATTTCTCTAAACAGAAAAAAGACAATGGGGCAAAATTAGCACCTCGCATTGTAATAATATGATAAATTCAAAAGGCATATCACGTCCAGAAGATAAAGATCTGCATCTTTCAACACTGTTGCCCATCAAAAATGACAGGAAAACCAGGCGCGTGAGCAGTTATCTTATTGGAAATGACCAGCATTAGCTTCAGATATGCCAGTGATCAAACATTGCATGGTACAGTAGAAGCAAAAAGGGACGAGCAAAAGAAGAATGGAAACAGAAATTAAAGCTCTATGGTGAAGCTCATCAGTCTTGGCATACTCACATCAGCCATTTAGCAGTCAAAATTAGCATTAATGCTTTACAATTAAGAGTATCACCAATCATATGTCAGTAGCTACAAGTTGTAAGCAATTTTATTTTTCTCTTAAAGCCATAATTTTATTATTCATGGATATATTAACATCAATCCATACAATAGATAGAAATTTTAAATTCAGCAGCACAAGAAATGCCTCAAAGAAATGGGAAATGAACATAGAATTCATTTCATTCTCAATAATACAATTCATTTTTGTAAATGACATGCCGTGTTTTGCATGTTATGCATTAAACATAGAATCCCTTTGCAAATTCTTCTATTTTTAGTAACCTCAAATTTCTAATCCGTCTTGTTTAACATATATTTGCAAATTCTAACAATATGACTAAAATATAACTAAATATTAATGATGTAAAATTCCAAACGAGTTTTTGTGCTTACCAGACAAGTGAATTTAGGTTTGTAATTGAATTTAATTCAGACCTAACAAGCTCAGAAACTGAACTAGGAATTCATATAAATTGCAGCAAGAGGCTGAAGAGCATCAAATTATTTTATATCAAATGACGATAGAATGAGGAAAACGTACTTGAGAAAAAGTTTTCTCATCCCCCGTGTTGTTTCACTGATGTCCCGAAATTGGGTCATAGAAGGAAGCGGTTATGAATTTCTTATATTTATACATACCAAGAAAGTGTAGAATAGCAAAATAATTAAGCATGTTAAATACATATAACACTGCATTAATTTGACAAGTTAATATAATGATATATTGAGAGAGAGGGGAGGTAAAAGTATTTGCCTGGTATGACAGAGGAAGAAGAAGCAAAGCATATTGAATTGTAAAATGCTAATCAAGGTACTCAAACTCGTCCTCCTTGAGATGGGCAAAGAATTTGACAGGGCCACGTCCCTCAATGTCCATCGTAAACTCCACCTTGTAAGGAAGATTTGCGGAAATTCGTTTGCCCTTCCAGAGAGCGACGTACTGCTTGAGATTACCTTCTTTCCCAGTCAGATCTACTTCCGGCACTCGAGGCACGTGGTACACCTTCAGAGGAACCTTCACCCTAACCCTCGCCCCAATTTTCTTCTCAGCTTGTTCCTCTTCTTCTTCGTCTTCTCCTTCTGTGACTGTTATTGACGAAGAGGACAAAGATGATATAGCCGATTTGCATGAAATCAGCCTATTTGTTTTCCCACTTGTCGTTATACTAGCTGAGGTAGTGGAGCAGCGGTGGTGTTTAATGTTGGAGCTGATAATCATCATATCATTATTAATCTTGCTATGAGGAGCAGCCACACATAGAGAACAAGAAGAAGATGATGATGGATTAAAAAGTAATTTCGTCGTGGTGAAATTGTTGGTGGTCATTGCGGTGGTGGCGCGATTGAGGGGGGAACAGGCTGAGGCTGCTCCCCCGGCCGACGGTAAAGCCAGAGTTGTTGCGCTCATATTCCCAGCACTTTCTCTACCAAAAATACTGATCTTCAATTTTTTAGATTTGTCATAGAAGTCTATGTGGGCTGGATTTCTCCTTTACTCCATCTCCATGCGGCCATGACTTTCTCAGCTAACCGTTGGATAGACGCACAGTAAAGTAGTACATACGGCAACGATCTTTCCTCTATTGAATTTTTGTATCCCAGAGTTAACCTTCTCTCCAACGTAACTATATAAAATAAAAATTTGGAAAAATAATTATATGGTCTCGACGTTTTTGACTAAATTAATTAATTAATTAGTCCTTACCGTTTTACAATATTAATTAGTAGTCGCTGAAATTTATCTCTATCAAACTATTTGATTCTTACGTCCAATTAATTAAAATTTGACATTTGGTTGTGAAAATACTAAAAACCTTGTTTATATCTTTCTCCGTTTCTACAGAAGACCAGACAACCTTTTTGTCTCTTTCTCCCAAACAATCAAATAATCATCTTTCTCCTTAATTGTCATTAATTAAGTAACATTTTAAAGAGTTCCAATAAACTAAATCTCTATGCGACAATTTATATATTTTTAAAAAGTTTCAAGAAACTAAATCTCTATGAAACATTTTATTAAACATATTATGTGTCAACTATAATTCATCAAAAGATTCATATATTCAAATTAAAATATTTGCTACAAATAGATACCACAGTAATATTTGAGACATAATTATCAAAAACACAATGAAATATTACAAAACGTGTTCTGAATCTTCAAAAGTAGAGAACAATAACAATGCAAAATTGTAAAATTAAGAGAACTTATCAGATTTACCGTCATCATAATTATCAGATTTCACTCAACTCTTATGACCCACCCCACTTTCACTGTCAAAGCCTTATTTCACCAATCACCCTATTATTTAACTTAAGCATAAACTCAGATCGGCTTTGAATGACAATGCCGATCTGAGTTTATGCATTCAGTTGACACTAGCTCTAAAGAAGCTAGTGTCAACTGAATGACTAATAGCTATGGTGGGCTTCCTCGTTGAGGAGGCGTTGCTGTTGTTGTTTGCGCAAAGAAGAGGAAGAAAGATAGTTTAGGTTGAAGGGTAAATTATTGTCATTTTAGATTAATTATCTCTCATCCCTCTTACGTTTTCAATGGTTTTAATGGCAAAATATGGAGAAAGTGGATGGAAAGACCAAGTGGTTTGACGGAGTTAAATCTTAAGAACCAATTAATTAATATTATCAAACCGCAGGGATGACTTAGTTAGTTTGGTCAAACTTAAAACGAATTAATTATTTTCCCTTTGAAGATTTACAATTATTACTATCTTATTCATTTTTCCAAAATAAGTTATTTAAAGTTTTAAAAAATAATGATAATTTTTATTTATTTTATTGTTAGACATTTTTCATTTATTTATGCAATAGAAATTATATATTATTATCTTTTTAAAATATATTTCCCTAACAAAAATTAACCCTAATATTGTATTCTATTTAATCTTGGATCACAATTGTTTTCCTTTTGATAATATGCTAATTATTTGTTTAGAGATTATATATCAGACAAAAGGTTTTAGGATTTGCCAATAATTTCGCTTTCAAATTATTGTTTTTGTTAAATGCAGAAATAATTTGAGTGATATTTATTAGACTGTTTTTTTAATTTTATCCTTTTCTTCTTGGTTTTTTATAATTTTTGCCTATACTGCTACTTTTTTTGAGTTGCTTTTTGATCTAGTTTTACGAGAACAAAAATTTATAAAAAAACAAAAACAATTTAATGGAGATTTTAATTATTTGGGAATAGGGCTATAAAAGAAAAAATATATACCTAGCATTTTTTGTAGCCAAAAATATAAAATAGAAAAATATTATGAAAAAAAAAAAAAAATGCTAAATCGGCCTATAGAAGGTTTATTTGAAATTGTGATGATGAATTCTGCATCCATCACTGCTAGCTTATTATAAATTCTAATTGAAATTGGTTTAGCTTATTTTGAATTTATTTATACCTAACAGAGCTTTAAATCCACAAATGTAACGTCATCGGATGAGAAATCTGTGATCTCCAATGAGAGGTAGAGGATGAAAGTTGCCCCTTAATCCAATCTTTATGGATAGCAAAAGACGACCTACAAAGCGTATGCACACCCATTAAGCGTCCCCTTTCAAAACATGGAGTCACGACCTGCACGCCCCAGCCATTACCATCTCAAGTAACAACCTTATCCTCGAGACTTTGAAATATAAAATCCCATTTGTTTGTTTGTTTCTACCACTGACATTAGCACCACATGAAGAATTCTGGAAAAATGCTAATGTCACCACAGTGTTTTACAATATCAACATCATGATGCGTCACAAATTGATGATGAGGGAAGCAAAGAGACAAACCCACACCCCGCACATAAAAACAGAATAATAAACGCCAGAAATTTCAATACATTGAGCAGCTCATGCCAACGAATAAGAGAATACACAATGGAACAAAGTAGGGATCACAATAAACAACAGGCAACTGATACATGATCGCAGAAAACATTTACAAGGACCTCGTATGCAATGGCACAATCATGAGGGGGTAGAAATAAAAAATAAAAAAATAAAAAAGAAAGTATATTTTTGCTTGTTTAAAGATAATGCCCTGCACATAGCACAATCGCAATTTGGAGAGATAGAAATTACCACCAGAACCTTGCAGAGAGTTGAAAAAGATGGCTGGAAGTTGCTATATGTGATGGCTCGGTGACCGACCAATAAGTCTGCACTGTTCTGGCAGCAAGTAAGAGATTACTTGTCCATTAAGGGGAAAAAGCTCACCATCAATGCCACAACCATTGTGGGAATGTTTACCAGTTTTTATCTTCACGGACTTCACCTGCAGAGGTTGGGTTTAGATGGTGCAACAAAATCTATTTCACCCTTAAATAGTATGCTGCCTACTAGAATGCTGCATGCATATATGTGTATTTTTTTCCCCTCTAGATACAAATACAGAACACCAGATCGTGACCATGTTGTATCCTTAAACCCTAAACCAAAACAGCTATTAGAGTTCCCACATTCATGCTTGTCATCCAACTAATATCATTGAGGCTGCTGGCAGATGTCTAAAAAACTTTAAATGTTTGTTTATTAAGAGGTTGTTTGTTTATTAAGATGTTGAGACAAATTCAGATCAGCAATTATATTGATTGAAAACTTGATATTTAGATTGTGAACATTACTGAAAGTTGGGAAATGTTGCACTTAAAGAAGTGGATGCCTAGTATCTAAAATCCAAAACTGGCTCTTTGAAGCATGGAACCTAAACTTCAAACACGCAGGGAAATCATGCAGAGATTTTCACACTACCCTACCAACTCTCTTTACCTCAAAGTTGCACGCAAACAGGACAATGAAATAACAACGAGGAACCAATTGGATCCATCTTGGGAGTAGAGATGGGTTAAGGACCTATCTTGGAAGTTGGAACCCCAACTTTCTCTCGACAGAGAGAGCGAGTATACCTAGGCAAGGCCACCGGTTCGGTTTGAACCGGAACCAAACCATACTGTAGACGAACCGAAACCGGTGGTTCAAAATTTTAAACCGGAACCGGCGGTTCAAGGGGCGGTTAAGGTTCATGTGAATGTTAAAAGTGGTTCAAAATTTTAAACCGGAACCGGCGGTTCAAGGGTCGGTTAAGGTTCATGTGAATGTTAAAATATGAACCAGAACCGGCAGTTAACCGGCGGTTCTGGTCTGATTCGAACCGAAAATTTTTTATGTTTATTTTCAAAATGATAATCACTTAGCCTATTTTATACATCTTTAAAAGTCTCAATAATATTATACTACATGATATACTTTATTTAAGAAATTTTTTTTTTAAAAATACACTTTACTTTAAAAGTTAAAAATCTAAAAAGTAAAATGGTAAAAAAAGAGAGAAATATTTAGTTTAAACTTATATTATTTTTAACTTTTTTTTTTTTTTTTACCCTTATTAAATTGTTTTGTAAGTTAAAATTAATTCTTTTTAAGCATTTTTCAAACATGATTCTTATACTATTTATTTAATTAATAACATTTAAAAACAAAAATAAAGTGATAATTTATTTGATTATTTTGTAAAATTAATTAATTTTATTCCTATATGATATTTTGTAAAATTAATTAATTTTATTCCTATATGAGTATAAGCATTCTAAAATTTACTTAAAATAAAATTTACCAATATTTTTTAAAGTCATATTAATATGTACAAAAGAAAGATGTAACATTAAAACCGATTTTTTTTTTAAAAAAACATATATCGCCGGAAACCGTGAACGGAACCGGAACCGGCGGTTCAAGGGCCGGTTCAGGTTCAACATTTTAAAAAATTTGAACCGTCGGTTCCGTGAACCAGAACCGGCGGTTCAATGAACCGGGCATGCCTAAGTATACCCCTACTTGGCCTCTCCAATCCCATTGGGACCAAGGTCATATATTCAACCTCCAAACATTCCCCAAAAAAACAAAATGAAATGATGATGATCATTCAGCACATTTATGTGCATAAGCACATGTAAGCAGAAACCAACATAGAAGCCTCCCCACTTCTCCCTTTACTTTTATTTTTTTAAGGCTTCAGTCTTGAAATGATATGATAGTCCGAGCACTCAGGTTTTTACAGTTTCCATATCTCAAGTTGATGGTACATGTCTCAATTACAGTTTGTATATTCTCAGGTTTACTGGATTAACCTGCCGATGCAGAAATGCTCTAAACAAAAACAGCAAGTTCATGATACATATATATTTGCCATCTCCTTAAGTTCACTGAATGAGCTAAATTATGAACATGGTCATATCAGTCAGTTAAATTGCAGATTAATGTAATTCTATAGAAAGCTAGACTCAGTATGCAGTTCTCTGGAATTAAAATGAAACTTTTGTTTTTACGTGCAAAAGCACATGACCATACCTTAATGTATTCGACATATGGTAATGAAAGATGCCGCCCCATCTGCAACAGCAAGAAAAACCTCAATAACCTTAGTCGTCCACTCCCATGAACTAAGAGCAAATCCATGGTATTGTCATCATGTTCAGCCCTTGGTGCTACCACCTGGGAACTCTGAACCGTTCTGCAAGCATGATTACAAACCAGTATGCCAAGAAATTGTCCCTTCTTCACTTCCCATTTATCTTCAAATCTAGGCACAACTTCCTTTTTCATCACTGCTTCTACATCATCTGATGGCCCTGGCAATTCAATAGGGTTTTCCAGATCCCAATTAGGCTCACTATCCCATTTTGGTTCAGCATCCCAAATTGGACCTGGATCAGATAATGTTGAGGAGATATCCTCTCTATCATTTGTTGCTGCATTTCCCCAGGAACATCTAGAGGAATCATGTGTAGAGGTCAATCCAGTCCATCCTTTATCTGTCCTCGACTTTGACCTCGTTCTTGGCCAATTTGGAGTTGTTGAGAGAGGTAATTGAGGATGAATAACTTCCGGCTCTGCCATTACATTGCTCCTCCCAGATGACAGGCGTTTTGCTTTTGGATCTAAGGCACGAACATATTCAGATGGTTCAGTGCTGGCATGAGTGCTACTGCAAGTTGTATCCAACTCGCCCCCAGACATTCGACTAGGGGTCATTATCGAGTCAATACTCGATAAACTAGATGCTCTAGGCATTCCTTCTGTGTTTGATCTCCTCATGATATCTGTGTAAAGGTCTGACATGTCAACCACCTCTCTCTCTGATTGTTTTCCATCCCGATCTGTTTCTGATGCAGGTAGATATTCCAAATCATAGCTGTATTTTGGTAAGCATAAAAACTTCAGAAATCCAGCAACAAAGTAACGCAGAGGACCGAAGCGTTTCTGATATTTCTCAGAAAGTTCCAACACTGCAGCACATAGAAAAGACATAAAAATGATTAAGAAAATACATAAAGATGATTGAAAAATCATCTCTATGAATGTCTTGAGAAACCATTTGTAAAGAAATTCACAAGCATGAATCGTCTCCACAACAAGATATAAATGTTATCATCAGTCTAGAACAACAACTACACCTTAATTCCAGGCTAGCTGGGAGCAGTCATCAATCTATATAACACACACACACACACACCACCCAACAACCCCCCACAAAAAAAAAAAAAAAAAAAAAAAAAAAAAAAAAAAAAAACAAACAAAAAAAAAAAAAAAAAAAAAAAAAAAAAAAAAAAAAGACTGAAAAAAGCAAGAAAAAAAAAAAAAAAAAAAAAAAAAAAAAAAAAAAAAAAGAATGAAAAAAGCAAGAAACAAAACTCAACCATTTACCTGTAGTACTGGCTGAATTTGAAGGAAGAAATACAACAGCTCCAGCCAGTAATCACACAAATGTCAAATATTGAATCCACCCTCCACTAGTTATATACTGTACTAGACATCAATCAATGACTGAATATTTATAGAATTTAATTATCTCACTTCAATAATGAACAATCTCTTAGCACCTAAATAACATATCACATAAATGGAACCTTCATAAAGGATTCAATCTTTGGTTTCCACCCTCAAAAGAAAACAGACCTTTTAATTGCTCATGTGATACTGATAATGCATTCACTAGGGCAAGAGCATGTTCTTTATGAAAGTGTGAAACATCTACACCATAGCATTTAATACATCATAGTTATATCATTTGTCTTAGATGCTTCATTTAATTTTCAAGATTCAACATGTATATCTTTAATCAAGCAACAGCTCGTGGTGAATAATAAAGTGAGTTTTGTAGATATTGCATGCTACATGTCCAATTCAGATAATATAAATTCGAACCTAAAAAGTTCTTCTAAGGTTTTTTAACTTCCCCATTCATTGACACAATCATTGTGAACTTACCATCACTGACAAAACCATAATATGAAACTGTCATCCCAAAGTGAATAATGCCACTCTGTATCCACTCAACGGCAAAGACATCTGTAGCAGTAAGACCCCCCTGAAAACAATAAAAAAAATGTCAATAGCAAGTGGGGTTTTCCTCGAGATATAAACTTAAAGGAAGACCATAATTTGGAATTTGTAATTTCAGAACTTCAAATGCCATTAGCATGCCTGTGCATGTGCATATCAGTTAGTACAGTATGTATACGATGCAATCTAAAATACAATATTTATCAGCCTGTGCCATTTTGCAACTTCGCAAATTGCATTACCAGTACAGATCAAAATGGTGCTAGTGCATTAGTATTCACTGATAAGGAAATATATTGTTACATCATAGCAGCCTTCCTTTTGAGTCATTTGCCTTTCCTTTTTTTTTTTTTTTAAAAGAAAATAAAAGAAAAATAAGGGAAGCATCAAAACCATAGCCATGATTATTATCAAGCTGATCAAATGGCCTGGCACCAAATCGGCTATTCAAATTCATGAACAATCAAACATATCAAATTGTTTAGGAATTTCAGCAACCGCTGGTCAATTACCTTCACAATAGCTATAGCAGCAGAAACTGGATCTCTAACACCCAAAACAGTCCAAACTAGCGAATTATCTGAACCAGCAGGTATAATTCCAATTGGTATGGAAATTCCTTCTTTCTGGTTGTCTCTACTAAGTAGACCATTCAAAACCTGCAAAATAAAAAGTGGTTTCACATGATTTGTTTAACACAATTAAATAAAGAAAAAATAGGCCCTTGGTGACACACTTCAGGAATATTGAACTAATAACTAGGCTTTTCACTAGATCCAACATGGCACATTCCAACAAAGTCCACAAATAAAAACTGAATAGACAGAATACTATATCATAATGCAGGCTAACATATTACATGAAACAAGGATTTCAATACAAAACTAGATGCAGAAGACTAACCTCATTGATAATTCCATCACCGCCTACGCATATAATCCCTGAACGTATGGCAATGGATAAATGGGCAAATTGGTTAAGATCATGGAAGTCCTCAAAAAGCACAAGCAAGAAAAAAAAGAAAGGGGCGTTATACAGTAGCTTATTACCATCAGGACACGTGCTAATGTCAACATTAGATGCAAGATTTCTAGCGTGACCTGCAGATGATGTTTTGACTACCTCCAATTTGAACCCAGCAAGCTGCCATAGTTTACACTTTGACTCTAAGTGTCGGAACAATATTTAGCACAACATGTTATTGAGCTTTTCATTGCTCATGATAAAGTACAACAAGAAAGGAAAAGACAGGGTAAAACGCCCCTCTCTCCCCACCACCACCACAAAAAAAAAAAAAAAAAAAAAAAAACACCGACAAAAAAAAAAAAAAAAAAAAAAAAAAAAAAAAAAACACAAACAGGAAATGGAAATGGTAAAAATATATTCTGAACAAGGATGCAGATTCTTTAAAACAACACTAAACAGTAGCAAGATCAGGCCTTACACAAGTAATTTATAATTAGGAATGAACCGCAAAGGTTTCATATCAACTTATTCCAAAATTATGAAGTACAAAGGTTTGCAATAATAGTTTTTATTAATAATAATAGCACTTACGCTCAAAAGTTCATGTCTCTCATATCCGTAAAAGCCGTTGGATGAACTGAACTTATTTGAATTCAGTACTCAACGGAATTAGCAAAATTAAATAGAATTAGTAGTTTCACGACTGCAATAACTAGTTGAGAACAGAGAATGCAGATTCATTATTAGCAGGACCAAACTGAACAATAGAATTTTACCATTAGGAATATAACAATTCCACATAAATTCCTTCCTCCTAAACCCTACAATTAAGGTTTGCGATTATAGTTATCTCCAATGTTCATATCTTGCACATCCATAAAAGGGGCTGGATGGCTTCAAATTATGAGAATCCAGCGGGAATGATGCTTGATAGATATAATATAAGGTTAGATGTCCCAACTGGGCCAACTCCTCAAAATTATCTAGGTTTAAGTTAATGTACATGCAGCATAATGGGCTAGCCAATGTGTTGAACAAGGGGTGCAATTTCCAAGATTCATTAAGCTGAAATGCTGTATTTGATAAGCATAATTATAAATCATTTGTACAGGCTATTTAGGCTAATCATACATCAAGGACTGACACATTAAAGCAGGCATAAAATTTAGTGCAAGGCAAATAACTGGAAAGTAAAGCTAGGGTAAGAAACATCAATAATTGCAATCCCATAGCAATGGCAATGACAGTATCCTGTTGGCAATTATGTTAATGTCCAGAAATCATGGCATTTTAGCATCAAAGGCCTCGTGAGTTTGATTACAAAATTATAGTAGTGGTGGTGATGCCTGAAATAGTAGAGATTCCAGTATCTTTTCATTTGTGGTGTAAAAACATTCTATAATATGCAGGTTAAGAGAAAATGCAAGTTCACCTAATAGAAGAAATTCTCGTTAAACTTGGCCTTTTCAATCCCCTTTTCTAGTTGGATTGGGAGAGGGGAAGAGGAGAGGTGGAAGAAACAACACTAAGCATTTTGCATCAAGAATGACAAACTATCTAATATACAAATGACATACATTAGCAGTGAATTATATGAATCTAGAGGAATTTCATGCTAATAGTCTCAAAGACATTTTGGATGGTAATTTCTGAACACTTTTGCAAAAATGACGATGTTAAATCAGATGGAAATGCAAATAAAATTACATTTACGGACCTTAAATATCGGTTCCACGATGCCATGGAAAACTTTACTTGAACGACCACGTCCTGAGCGTGGATTCAAGATGACGAGCATTTTAGGTGGACTCTTACACTTGAACAGCAACTCTGGAGGAGTGTCTGTTGGCAGTAATTCAGAAGAAGCATGCTTCTTTGAAGAAACTAAAGGATGAGGCAAACAATTCACGTAACAATGCTGATCTGCTAAACAACCAACCCATTGAAGTGCTTCTTCCACTGTAGAAGCCAAGAAGCGATAGTCCTTCCGACTTCTTTTAGGTTTTATAAAACAAGATAGACAGCAAGAGCCCTTTTTTATTGGATAAGAATGAACAGTGAAATGTCTTAGACCAATATTGTATGATACCTGTGAATATCATGTGGGCAAAATTTTTATCAGTTCATATTCTTGGTAGCAAAATGATGTGTGTGTGTATATATAAACATGTGGGGCAAATTTTTATCAGTTCATTATTCTTGGTAGCAAAAATGATGTGTGTGTGTATCATATATATATATATATATATATATATATATATATATATATATATATTATATATATATAATAGCATTACCGAAATAATGTCGTCAAGATGCAGCATATATATAGCATTACCGAAATAATGTCGTCAAGATGCAGCATCTGAGAGCCCCAAACAAGAGCCTTGCTAGTAAGCTTAGCATCGACAGCTTCTTGGTTGGATACATCTATAGGGCTTTGCTGTTGTGCATCTTTGGGAGAAGCGTTATCATGGAAGGAAGTCTTTCTCTTGTCCAAAATGAGTTTTCCAGAGAAGACGACGCATCCTAACAAATCAGACTTCTCATCTCCGCCTCCTATTATGTCTATTCTATGCTCTGGTACCTTGGCTTTGTCCAGTGGATCATCGGGTTTCGAAGAGGCTTTGACCTTCTTACTACGTTTCTCAGGGAAAACAATTGGGGACGAGTGCTGTCCTCCAGCCGTTGCAATTTGGGAACACAACCCCAGCCTCCTGATAGACTGCTGATGAAAGAGGGATTTGCTATTCTGGATACCAGTAATAGTGCTGCTAGCATTCCTCGACACACTTCCACTCTTATGCATATCTGTTCTGCTTGTGCTCTTCTTCCTATGATTGCGAAAGTGGACAACTGATGAAAACACAAAGAACAAGAATGAAGAGCTGGAGACTAACGGAGTACTTGGTTTGATAAATGAAATTTGCTATCTCACATGAGCTTGATCCAATTCCAACTTGCAAGGCGGTACATTAATCGGAATGATCAGATCAACTCGCACTTCAATTTTTCATTTCACTTGTATCGCCCAAAAATGATAAATTAAATTTGATGAAGTTCTAACAATATATGACCAGGATAGGATAAAATTGGGAAATCAGAGAATTGAGAGCTAAATTACCTTAGAATCTTACAGAGTATTGATACAAAACAGATCCTCTACTGTCCTTTTGACGATAGCAGCCTCTCAGATTGAATTAGCATTAACAACTGGAGGAGAGGAAGATTCATTCATTGAAAGTTGAAATCCACCTTAGGGATAGGCCCCTCTGTTTCGCTTCGTTTTCTTTTCCTTTTCCTTAGCTGCGGTAATGACTAATGAGTCCAGCTTTCCTCCCAAATATTATATACATAGGTGCTCGGTCAATTGAACTAGAAATAATAGTTCAGTGCCTATGAGAAATAAATAATAACGAAAAATTACGATTACATCCCTATATTTTTCAAACTACAATTAATATGCATTGCTGTTTGAGAAATACAGTTGAAATCTCTCTATTTTCATTCCATCCTAAATTTTTAAACCTTCCGTTCGATTTAGTAGGGTTGAGCAACCTTCTGAAAAAATATCGAAAAATTGAGCCAAATCGAATCTTTTGGATCTTTGGTTCGATTATTCTCAATTTCAGATATGGTAAATATTTTCAAATAATTTAGGATTTTCAATTTTGCTTGATTTTGGAGAAAAACTTTACGGTTAATTGATTCAAACCACAATTAGCATGCTGTCGTTTTTGCACAAATTTTACTAAAGCTATTTATCATAACATCATCTCTATTCTCTTATTCTCTCTCTATGTCCCTTTTTTTCTCTCTCTTTGTGATGAAGACTTTGCCCATCCCATCACCTCTCTCCCTTCGCTATCGACTTTTTCTGGCTAAAATCTATCGTTGAAAGCTGTTAAACGGTTTGCAATTAATTTATCTTGCGTATGTAATTCTAATTAACGCATCGAGCAGGTGAGATAAGCATGTTCGGCTGATCACAAGATCCCATACTATCACCCTGAAGACCCTATGTTGCGTCTCTTTTGAGTTCCCGCAAGTATACGGATCGCAACGTAGTAATAAAAGATCGATCCTACGAGGAACGGGTTAAGTTCACTTGCTACTTTACTCTTATTGATATGTTTACAGAAATATGAATATAGAATAGTTTTGTTTAATTTCTTGCTACTTTACTCTTATTGATATGTTTACAGAAATAATGAATATAGAATAGTTTTTTGTTTATTTCCTAGTTAGCTAATCTAATTATTAATTAACTCTAGAGACAGTGTGTAGTAAGATATTAGAATATTAATCATACATAGGGATTTCCCTTTATATGCAAAAGCTTGGTAACATACAATGAATAATTCTTTAATTACATATGGTAGAATATAAATTCAACCTCTCAGTATCGAATTATTCTATCTATTATAATGTATTTCTACTTAATAATAAATCCTTATCTTGTTAAATATTAAACCTAGTTTCCTTAAATTCTTTGAATTATTTCAATAAGATAGATTTAACTTTAAAGAAAATAAGTGAATATGCATATGTAACATTTCAACTAAAGTGAATTAAATTTCTTCTTTTGATCTTTACTAAACTATTTTCTTTCTTTCACTTGGATTGCTATTTATAGAAGAGGAGAATGATGTTGGTTTTGATGATGATTGGTTGGCCAAGAGGTGCTTTAGGTGACTTCTCTTGGGAAGATTTGTATAGAAAAGTAATGAAGAACAACATACAACAAGTCTTTAAAAACAAGAGAAAGAAGTAATTAAACTCAAGCCTCCGGAGGGTGTCACACCTCGAGGAACTTGTTGATGTTCTTGGCACAAACAATAATAAGTGACTCTCGTCAACTTACTTCTAAGTACTACTATCACACTTTTCTATTGCTAACTTTCTCTCTTCTTAATGATTTCTTTTTCTCAAATCTGTGAAATGAATTATATTTTTCTTTCTTCCATGATTGCTATTTATAGAGGAGGAGAGTGATGGTGGTTTTGGTAGTGATTGGTTGGCCAAAATGTGCTTGAGGTGACTTCTCTTGGGAAGAGTCCCGATCCCTGCATGGAAAGATATGTATTTTTGATGAAAAGACAGCAATTACGTCTCCTGGAAATCTCGACTCGCGCTCGCGAGGTTGATGGTCGCGCTCGCAATTTTTGCTCCAAATGTCTCTGCCTCTCAGGAATGCTTTTCGCGCTCGCGCATGTGGATGTCGCGCTCGAGACTTTTGCTTGCTAACCTTCTGACTCTCAGGAGTGCTTCTCGCGCTCGCGCCTGTGGATGTCGCGCTCGCGCCTGTGGATGTCGCGCTCGCGAATATTGCTTTTCTTTTCCTGCTGAGTCTTCTGGGTGTAAGTTGCGCGCGCGACCTCAGGTAGCGCTCGCGACTTTGGCAATTTTTCACGTTGCGACCTGCTTCGCGTCGCGAAGGCTGTTTCAGGAACTTCTTCTATTTTTAATCAACTTGTTTTGATCTCATTGTACAAAGCAAGCTTTTTTATTCCTTTGCTCCAATTGTGTTCCTAAAATTACTTTGAAACAAAAACAACACGAACAAACGTAAAATATATAAAAACATCATCGTAAAATATATAAAAAACGAACAAACGTAAAATATATAAAAACATCATGCATTCATGCAATTTATATGAAAATAACATAACAAAGTTTGCCCGCTTTGCGAGGCTATCACCCTATATGAGTTGCCCTTTAGATTTATAGAAGATATTGGCTCCGGAGCAGGTTTGTTTATATGGTTTCTTAAACCAAAGGGGTCTACCTTTGAATTTTTAGGTGTGGAAGCTCTAGCATGGAATGACTCGAACTTGATTTCAATGCTTCCTACATGTCAATAAACGAAATATTATAGTCTCAAAATGTTGTCCTAAGCAATAGACAAAGAGATATTGATTAAAAACTACTGAATGCTATCGGAGTGGCACCGACTTTGGGATGAATTCATATTTTGTATGCAATATGTATCGAGCGGGCGAGATAAGCATGTTTAGCTGATAATAAGACCTCATACTATCAACCAGAAGACCTTACGAGTTGCACGTCAAACGTACAAAAGATATTGACTCCGGAGCAGGCATTGTTATAGGGCTTCTTAACCAAAGGGGTGTACCTTTGGATTTTTGAGCTCGTAAGCTCCTGCATGGCTAGCATGATATTAATGCTTCCTACAAGTCAAAAAATGAAATATTATAGTCTAAAAAAATGTCATGCAAAGCTATATTGGGTCAACATTGCTGAATGCTTCTAGAGTGGCATGAAGTTCGGGGATGAATTTATGTTTGGTATGCAATTCTGAATGACGTATGGAGCAGACGAGATAAGCATGTTTGCTAACCTCAAGACTCCATACGAGCTACCCACTACCGAATGCTTCCGAAGTGGCACCGATTTTACGCATGAATTTATATGGTGTATGTAATTCTTAATGACGCATCGAGCAGGTGACATAGACATGCCGAGATGACCATGAGACCCCAAAATATCACCTAGAAGACCCTATATGAGTTGCCTATCAAGCATACAGACGATATCAGCTTCAGAACAGGCCTTCAGACAAGCTTCTTAGACCAAAGGGGTATACCTTTGGATTTTTGGGCCCGCGATCTCCAGCATGGAATGGCCTGAAAATGATTTCGATGTTTTTTAAGGTCTTAAACGAAATATTATTGCCTCAAAATGGTATGCCAAGCAACAGACAGAGAGATATTGGCCAAAACTATTGAATGCTTCTAGAGTGGCACCAATCTTGCGCATGAACTTATATGGCGTATGCAATTCTTAACGACGCATCGAGTAGGGAAGATAGGCATGCCAACTAACCACAAGACCCAAAAATATCGCCTACAAGACCCTATACGAGCTGCCCTTCAGCGACATTTGATATCAGCTCCAGAATAGGCATTCAAAGAGGGCTTCTTAGTCCGAAGGGGGTATACATTTGGAATTTTGGGACCAGAAGCTCCGGCACAAAATGGCCCAAAAATGATTTCAATGCTTCCTACAGGTTTTAGAAGAAATATTATTGCCTCAAAATGGCATGCCAAGCAACAGACAAAGATTTATTGGGCCAAAACTATAGAATGCTTTCGGTGTGGCACAGATTTTGCGCATGAATTTATATGGCATGTGCAATTCTCAATGACACATCGAGTAGGCGAGGTAGGCATGTTGGGCTAACCGCAAGACCCTAAATTATCGCCTACAAGAACCTATATGAGTTGCCTTTTAGGCATATAGACGATATCGGCTCCGAAACAGGCCTTCAGATAGGGCTTCTTAATCCAAAAGGTTATGCCTTTGGAATTTTATTCCTGGAAGCTCTGGCACGGAATGACCTGAAAATGATTTCAATGGTTCCTACAGGTTTTAAAAGAAATATTACTTCCTCGAAATGGCGTGCCAAGCAGCAGATAGAGAGATATTACACCAAAACTTTTGAATGCTTCCGGAGTGGCACCGATTTTGCGTATGAATTTTGAATTCTTAATGATGGATTGAGCAAGTGAGATAGGCATGCTGGGTTGACCAAAAGACCCTGAACTATCGCTTACAAGACTCTATATGAGCTGCCGTTCAGGCGTACAGATGATATCCACTTTGGAAGAGGGCTTAAGATAGGGCTTGTTAGTCCAAATGAGTATAACTTTGGAATTTTGCGCTCGGGAGCTACGGTTCGAAATGACCCAAAAATGATTTCAATCCTTTCTACAGGTCTTAAACCAAATATTATTGCCTCAAGATGGCGTGCCAAACAATAGATGGAGAGATATTGGGCCAAAACTACTGAATGCTTTTGTAGTGGCACCGTTTTTATGCATGAATTCATATGGCATATGCATTTCTTAACGACTCATCGAGCAGGCGAGATAGGCATGCTGAGCTAACCAAGACACCCCAAACTATTACCTAGAAGACTCTATACGAGCTGCCCATCAAGCATACAGACGATATCAGCTCTGAAACAGGCCTTCAAAAAGGGCCTCTTTGATCAAAGGGTTATACATTTGGATTTTTGGGTTTAAAAGCTCATACAAAGAATAGCCCGAAAATGATTTCAATGCTTCCTTCAGGTGTTAGATGAAATATTATTACCTCCAAATGGTATGCCAAGCAATAGACATAGAGATATTGGTCCAAAACTGCCTAATGCTTCTAGAGTAGCACTGACTTTGCGCATGAATTTATATGGTGTATGCAATTCTTAACGACGAATTGAGTAGGTGAGATAGGCATGCCTGGCTGACCATGAGACCCCAAACTGTCTCCTAGAAAAGCTTATAGGAGCTGCCCGTCAAGCGTACAAATGAT